AAATTTTAACTAGTTCCTCGACGAAAACAAAAAGAAAAAACGACTTAGATCTGTTTCAAAGTGAAAACGATTTATCGGATTTAAGCTGCCATTTTGTCGTTAAGCATTGTCTCCTTGACAACACGTATCTAACGGTTAGCCTCACAATGAGCTCAAATTGAAAGAGATTTCTTTCTTTTCTTGTTTATTGTTTCCAGATTTTCAAAATATATTGAAAAGTATTGCCTTATTGCTAGACGGTGGGATCCAAGAATATTAATAGCATCTTTGAGATTTGTTATTTTTAAGATTATTCTTAGCTGTATCTTTTTCAGACTTTCCAAGATGCTGAGCTTCAAAGAGCAAACTTGCTCACAACATTTGAACGTCTGGCAAATAACACCGGTATGAAATGTTTTGATAAATCTTCTTATTTCTTTGTTGTGTTCTTCCTAATCATCTGAAGAATCTAGTTTACATTATTCATAAGTTCACTATAAAATATTGAAATATATTATCACTTTATCCATATCACAATGTCACAATCCTCATACATAACTATCAAACTATCACTAAATATTTAAATGAAGGTTATTTTGAAAAAGCATATTGAGAAACGATTAACAAGTTATTTTTATTGAGCATCTACTTAAAAAGCGTTAAACTTAAGAGCTATCAAATGTACATAAATTATTATTGTATTTTTTTAAATATGATGTATAAATATATAAATATATCCAAACTCCACACCAGACCAGGATCCACCTACAACTGCTATGTTTTATAAAAATGCATCTTCGTAGATATTCTGCTGAAAATTGCCAAAGGTTTAACAGACAATGGCGATAAAAATACAGAAATCATTTCAAAATTGTCAGACTCTTCGTACAGACGGTCGGCTTTCAAAGACGTAAGTTGTGGCCTTGGCATCCTATTTTAAATCATTTGTTCTACTGCAAATAATATCCTTCGAATGCTTTGAAATGAAATAAATGCTTTGAAACAGACTGGTTATAATTGGTTAAAAAAATTGTGAGAAGAAGGTCTCACCGGAAGGAAAATTATACCTTCCAAAGCTATCATACTACCATAAAAAGCTGTTCCTTCTAATTGCACGATGGTTGAGAGCAAATAATATTGTTAATGGGCAGTTTGATATTCGCAAGGAAATGTTAGTAAGCTTTAGGAGTTCAACAAAGAAAGCGAAAGACTTGCTGTATTACTGCAATCAATTATGTTCTTAGTTGCTCAATGTTTATTTTCAGTTGAAAACCCACGCCAGTGTCTGCATTAATGACTTAGTGAATACCAATGCCTTGGTAAGAGACAAAATTCGTTTCTATAAATACTTACAAACTTTTATGCAAAAAAATTCCTCGATAGGGATCCCGGCTTTGGATCAATTGATCTATGACCAGGTATACAAAGTGCAGGATGCTGAATTATAGGGAGATATCATAAGTAGTTCTTTTGATTTTCTAAAAAAATAGGAAAACTTTTTGGCTATTGTCAACAAATTTCCAGGTTTTCTGGGCACTTGTCTATTTCTATCAGTTGCGTGCCCTGATTTTCGAGAAGGAAGAGTCGCGAAAGAAAGTTCGCAGACAGTCGATTGTATGCAACGACATCATTAACTATCTCAAGGTTTACTGGCGAACTATCGACAAAATATTAGGAAGTCAGACATTCATATTATTGCTCGCCTGATGCCACCTGGATACATCAATTATAGTCATCCAACTCTTTATCAGGTCATCGAAAAGGTTCGAGAATATCAATCGAACGTGAAACAAAGGCCGCCATATGAAGAGTTATACTCAAAACGTCGTACTAACGATTCATTTCTTGTACAAAGCCGTTATTTTACTACATATTAACTTTTGTTCATTACAACACACTCAACTCCATTGATTATCAATTCTTTAAACTCCGATTAGTGTGTTGTAACGTCACTATCAAGCTACAAAAGTCATATTGAGACGCATCTTCACAAAGTTTAGGTTTCCAACCATTGCTCATGACTCAGTTGGAAAAATTTTAGTTCATGTTTTATCATTCTTTTAGGTTGATGATTATAACGCCTCCTCCAAGCTTGAAAACATTGGCAACATTGTGCAGGATATTGTCCAATCGTTGGATCACATTCTTTCCACAATCGAAGATTTAGAAAAGGTTTGTTCACAATAAATATAATTTCAGCTATAATGTTCAACAAAGACAAACAAATGTTTACTTGCTTTAATTCACAAATTATGATCCTTTACTTTCAAAACTATCCAATTTACTAAAATGTTCCCGGAAATATTTATCCGCAGAGTCCAACGATTACTACAGTCATAAGCATCGAAATACATCTTTTACTCGACTTCTCTACACTGGATGTAGATGAAAGCATCAAATCTTTCAATAAAATCAAAGAAGAACTCATCGAAGACTTTCAAGTCTGCGATCTGAGTGACAAAGAGGAGTTCGATGTTAAGATGATGTTTGGCGCTGGTGTTTTCAGAATTGGTCCCTGCAAATTCGATCAAATTGTGGCAGTGAACCAAAATGTCGCCCAACAAGATCAAGCTCCGTTTTTAGAAACAGGAATCAAGGGGCAAAAACGAAAAAGACAAGACGAGGGTGCTGTCCATGATTCGTCCTCGAAAGAAAGGGTGGAGCAGTCAAGGAAAAAGGTGAAGAAGGATGCCGTACGAGAATGGGAGACTGAAGAAATCATGAGACTCTCCACTGATTCTAGCAAAAGTAAAAATGACTTCGTAAGAGCTTGGCTTAAAAGTCAGTATAATGTGTCGTACGAAATGAAGGCACCAAATATCCTACCAGTCTCTCAGAAAAATGAAAGAACGCCTGATCTTTCAGAAAATGGCCAAAACAGCAATCAAATATCGCCATTAAATTCTGACAAAAGATCTCTGCTGACTTCCAAGCTTAGTAATTCCCTCCATACTAATCTAAAAGGCTGTAGAGACTACCATTCTCCACCTTTTGTAGCCTCAGAAAAAGTCGCAAGGCAAAGCCTTTCCATAAAAAATGAAGCTAAGCCATCCGAAGATATCGTCAGTCAAAAGAATGACTGTAATCAATTAAGTCAATCAATAACCCAAAAGCCAACTTCTGCTCCCATAGCTAGATGTAGCCTAAAACAGCAAGGTTTGATCGGGCAAACTGCTACAGTTAGTCGACCAGAGTCTCTAAAAATAGTTTTCTATAAAACTGATGGAGGCAACTGGGCAGTTAAAAATAAGTCTTTTGAACACACAGTAATGCAGATGGAAAGTCGTAAAACGGATGGTAAAAAAACAGAGGTGATGACATTGAAAGCTGATAGTGTATCAAAAGAAATAGATACGGAAAAGGAGGCTAGAAAGCGTTTTGAAGTGTTAGAGAGAGTTAAAAGAGCTTTAGCTAGGGACAGATCGAATAGAAAGGAGAAGAAAGGTCCCCTTAGAAAGACGAGATTTGGCCGCATAAGAAAACAAGTTTCAAATCTTTTTGAGATAAAAGCTCGTACGATCAGTAGAAATTTCAGATCTTGAGCATTTGACATTTTCGTTTACGGCCCATATCTCAAAAGGTAGAATAAACAGGGTTATGTCCCCTGCCATTCAACCTTCTCTCTTACCTTTATACTTTACGTAGAAGGCGTACATAAGTAAAAAGTTAGTTTAAAATGGCAAGAACAAATGGACAAATAGCTTTAATTCTTTGTAAATTCATCACCTTGGATGACACAACTGAAGTGTATTTTAAGAGCATTCGAAGTAGGTAATTAGAAAATACATTTCAAATTAGTAATTTAATTGCATTTTAAATGCATAATGGCAAATGTATCCTTAAGAAGATATAATATAAATGGAATATGTTTAAAACAATACTGAGTCTTCTTTCTGAGTTTTCTGAAATTATTGACATTTTGAATTTGTTTAATTAGATATAAATTATTTTGATTTTCTGTACTCAAAGCATTATTCACTCAGTATGTGATGTAAATAAAGCAAAAGATTGCAAAAATGTGCAATATTTTAAATAGGCTTTCAATTTCTCACAAAATTCCACCAGTTTTCTCTAAAAAATGCTACGAGTTTTTATTCAACTGAAAACCGTATTATATGTTTTTGCATTTTAAAGCTTTGGGCAGTGGTGTGCTCAGATGGGAAAATGAAACAAAACAGTCTTATAAAATGATAAAATTAGTCGAGTTGCCTGAGACATGACTCGATGCTAGCATTGAAGATGGTGGATCAGAAGACTTGAAAGATCCCATAAAACAAAGAAAACAGACGAGATATTCAAGTGAAAACCCTAAATTTGAGAAATTCATAGTAGATAGAAGCTGACTAGAATGGTAGCTGACATTGAAGTGATCTGAAAAGTGTGGGCAAAATGAAAGCTTATATGCAATGTTTTGCCACATGTTTGACCCATGTTGTCTGGCTATGATTATCAAAATGTCATTGCAAACAAAATTGCCAATAGTTCAGAATTCCAAATTTTGATAACGTAGGAATGAATTATTCCAAGCGAAGTCATTATTGTCACACTAGGAATATATCAAAAGCAATGGCACAAAGATATCTTTATGAAAAATAATATCAAAAGACTTTTTCTAGTGCAGTTGTATCTAACTTTTCTGTGAAAGCAATTGAAAAAAGCTTTTTTAGGCACTCATCGGGAGCTAAATACAACTTTGCTTACTTTTCAAAATAATGAGCTTGCTTGAGACATCAAAGATAAATACCTAATTGTTATTCAAACCTATAAGTAATGGCTGGGACAACTTCGAAAATACAATTTTTTAACAATTTTAAAGGTTGCTTAACAATTTCTGCTACTGTTTCTCAAGCTGTTTCGTTACATATCAAGCTTTTACAAAGTTTTCATCCAAAGTTTGAAACTTCATTTTTTTGGCATCAAATGCCTCCATTAAGCCTTATTATTTTGAAACATTAAGTTCATTATAGGGCAAAAATTATTTTAGCCAGTCTGCTGTCTTCAGTTAGAGAAAATGAGCTTACCTTTGTGATCATAAAATGCACTGTTTCCAGTAGCTACTGTAACTTCACTTGATACTGGAGACAAAACATTTATTACATCCTAAAATGCAATATAACTGTTAACAGAAACTATTCAAAAATAAGTTTAAATAAATAAACTTTCATATTTAAGAATGAAAAGTGGGTAATAGCGTAAACTATAACAGGGGTGGACAATTTGGTCTCCAATGCACCTGGAATGATTCGTTTTTATCTGCAGGAGGCTGCTTAGAGTTACACAGGGTAACCATTGGGCCACCAATTTTTTACAGGAATTGGCCACCCCTGTATCCCGAGTGCCCTTTCGGGAGACCACAGGTCACATGTGGGAGACCACAGAATAGCTGCTGGTCTCCCACTGGGAAACTACTGTTTTACTGGGATTGTCCGAAAGCAACTGTCTAAAATTGAAATAGCATAATATCATCCTTGAATTTACTCACCTCAATTTCTTTGAGAAATTTCCATGTTTTGGTAATGAAGAGCTCACAATTAACTATTGGAATGGGTTGACGCCCAAAGGATGCCTTGGCTAACACCATCAAAAATGCTTTTGGATACCCAAAAACCTGGAAGAGAAATTAAATTAAGAAATATCCACAAATTATCTGGTTTTGAAATATATACATCAAAAAGGGCATGTTTGCAAAAGAAAAAAAGAGTCTGTTTGTAAAATGCTTCAATTCAAAGCAGTATATTATCAAATAGAAAAACACATCCTGTCACACACATTAATTTTTAAGAAATTCATCTACTGAATATTCTTCTTCATTATGCAAAATAAAGAGCTTTTGACAGTCTCAAGATAAAAAATTGTTTGCCATAGTTATGAATCAAGTTATGAACATAACAAAACCAGCCTCAGGTATGGAAAAATGAAGATAGCACAAAAAGATGAAAAAAGCATATGAAAGTACTTTTGATGAACTTGGGTGAATATACTTGGTTGACAAATGCAGGAAATCCCAAGTTTCATGAATGATTTTCATTGACCAGAAACACATAGTGACAAAAGAAGTTCTCATTCAAAAAAGATTCATGTGTGAACTACCATATATAAAGTAAAGTTGCCTGATGACCTTGTTTAGTATGAAACTCAAAGGGTTGCAAGGGTTTAAGTTGAGTTGCAACTTAAAGACCCTTTACATGAGACCTGAAATGAAACTCATGCTGTACACGTTTTCATGCTAGTACAAATTTTCATGCCTGTACAAGTTTTCATGCCAGTACAAGTTTTTCTGCCGGTGTCATATGCGTTTCGGTAACCTTATCCATTTTGGTCCGGGTACACAAACACATGGCAATTTTGGTTATGCAAAATTGTACCCAAGCACTTAAACAATAGGGTACCAAAACGAATGGTGGAATTTAGCATGCAAAAAGGTCCGGGTACACAAACGCATGGCAATTTTGCTTATACAAACACGTACCCAAGCTTTTAAAAAAGGGAACCAAAACGAATAGGGGAATTTAAAATGCGAACCGGCCCGGGTACACAACACAAATGTTTTCTTTATTGAAAAGTGTGAAATTTTGAACTCAAAAAGCATTGTGTTCAATTTGTTAATTATAACGTGTCATAATGTCGCACTACGATGAAATCACATGATTTGAAACACATTGCGTTTCACAATGTTACACTTTTGCATAGGGTACCAAAATGCATATTACACTGGCACAAGTGGTATGTTGGGTGCTGGTCTGAGCTACTGTTCTGATTACGTGGCTTTGACCAAAATGACACTCATGCAGGCATGAAAATCTCATGTCGCTTTTTCGTGCCCGCATGAACGTGCCATGTAAACAGATCAGTTTTTCCTGTCGGGGGAAACCAATGCAAAACTTCATACTATGATAATCACGAAGCCACATGAATATCATGTGAAAAGCATTCAACAGTTTTATTTCAGATCTCATGTAACAGCGAGCAAATTTCACCAAATTTTCATGCCTGCATGAACTCACGCCAGCAGGACTTCATTTTAGGTCTCATGTCAAGGGGACTTTAGACAATCCTGTTCTATATAATATGATACATCTAAATTCTATATTGATTAAGCTACCATTGACAGAAGTATAAAAGAAACATGTTGTTTAGCAATTGTCAGTTTTATATCTCTTCATTGCATTACACTGAAATACTGCTTGTGACGCAATAGGAAATTACAACACGTCAATGATGCTTGAAAGAACTTAAACATTTAAAGAACTTTTAATATTTCTGTCAATCAAAAAAGGTTGTTAGTAGTCATGTCATGAAATGAAAGTGGCATGTGATTAATTTGTGGCACAGCACCCCCCCCCTCAGAAACAGGGGTAAAGTTTCTATTTATTTGCAAGTAAGAGGGTGCATACAAGATAGTTACTTTTAAAACAATTCATACATCTATGTTTCACACATAAACCCGCCCCAATTTTCATCAAATGTGCTGTTCTGGTTTCACTTTTAATATCATCGTAACATTAGCTTTTTTGGTCCTCGAGTCCTCAGTGCGGTGTCTAGCTAAGCTTACTAGCCCTTAGGTTGTCCTGGATTTCATGACAGTTTTGATAAGATCTCCAGTGCACAAGTTATTAGACAGGAGTGCAAGAGTGCATTTGTGATAAATGTGCACATTTGACCCAATACTTTTAGTTTTGGGTCTGAAACTCTGGCTACTAAAATAATAGACTGTTTTAAACAGTTGCAAGAGAACGACTCCAAAAAATATTTTGATGCATAGCTTACAAAAGTAAAATCAGAAAAATTTTCTGCTTTTTCAGCTTTCCCCAGGGCCACAGTGCCCCGTTTACACTGTTCCATGACAAAACTGTGGTGGTTTGCCCTTCCATTTTCACTAGCGCTGTGGAACTTTTTATGCGAGGGGAACACCAGAACAATTATTTTGAAATTTGCCAAAAAAAACATTCCCACGAAATCGTGTTTGGAGCAAAGGCTTTCGAAGAGACCTTGTATTTTGTATTTTTTCTTATTATCAGAAGTTTAAATGGTGGAATATTTGCGGGGAATATGACCGGAAAAACAAATATTGTGCGCTGAATCTATGGCAGATTCTTACTAATGCATGGGCGGAATGAAAGATAAAAATTATTGCGCGGGGAACGACCAAACTTTTAAGTCTATGAAACCCAAACGATTTTGCCCTGCCACCCGGCACAGTAGTTCTATGAAAGCCAACAAATTTTGTACCGTTAGGTTTTTATTTTTTAACAGGGCAGTGAAAACAGGTCTGCAACTTTTTAGCAGCCCAGATCTCAAAAGGATCGACCACTTTTTCTCGGGAGTGCAGGTGTCATAGAATCCATACTGGCCCTTAGGTAGTAGTATCTAGTTATGCCTTTCCATTTTTGTGGCATCAGTTGAATGAATATAAGCCGATGAGAAATGGAAAGACATTCAAAGCCTACCTTAATTAAATAATCCTCCATCTTAGCAATTATCAAGTCGCTTGCAATTGTAGTTTGTGTCAAAAAATCCACAGGAACAGTAGCCCACGCGCCCACAGCAGCCATTTTGAAAACATGAGAGTTAGCCGTCAAATAACGATGAAGTGAATTGTTGCTTACGGGAAAGATATACAAAGGTGTGAGTGAGAGAGCTTAATATTTGAGTGAATTATCGAGGATTTATGGTAACGCAGTTCTATATTTTTGCAGATTTTGTTTAAGATATATGCATATGGTGCAATGGATGGAGTAATTTTTTTTCGATATATACCCTTTGATTGTCAATTTACAACTTATGATTAGCCAGTTTCGGGGTTGAAATTATCGGTGACTCTGGACATGGCTGTCTTAATTGAACTCCTTCTTTGACCTTTTCTATTTACTGCTTTGCCATATTTTCTATTTATTTAATTTTTACATTCCTCTTTCCCTAATCAACCATGTTAACGAAATTTAATACATATACCACAATGAAATACAACCAAACCGTTTTAGTTAGTCAAATTTCACTGCACGTGCCCTTTCTTCCTACAAACTTTCAAATATTGTTGTTCATTTTCACTTTTTCTACGGCATTTCATCCCCTTGATGTTTGAAAGGTACCTAAACCTGTAAGGATTATTTTCTTATTCGATCGTAGTTATAACTGGCCCCTTTTCAACAGGCATCGTATTTAACTGCCAAAAAGTTTTGGGGAAAAGTTCTTTCTGCCATTTCTCAAATTCTGCTTCATGTTGTCTAGATGCAATCAAATCCTTGTTGGATAATTTAGTCATCGAGATCCGACTACATCTTTCAATCAATCTGGCTACAATGATAATCATGTCTCTGTCAAATTTTGCTGAATTTTAAATTTATTGATTGCATGATTAAAACGGATTTGAGACATTTTAGCTTCGGCTATTTATCCTCATATGATTATTTGGCGCGATTTCATATAAAAATCGATGTCAAGAAGCTTTTACAAAGTAACATATCATTCGAAACCAGGTAATCATATATGACATAAGCGAATACTCAAGACAGTATACGATTTCCCGTAGAATCCTAGGGACAATTTTTTATTTTGCCATGATATCTTCAACAAAAGATACCAATAAAAGGCATGTATTTTTAAACATAAAAACCAACTGATAACATGGCTAGACCGACTAATCACAAGTAGAAAAGATATTAAGCTGACCAAGATTAAGATGAATAAATCGGAGAAGTGAGAGAAACTTTGAGTGAGGATTGTCTTATCATACAGATTTTAGATCCAGTTGATTCAGTATTTTGTAAACTTCGTGGGGACTTATATAAAGAATACTTAAAAGAAAAGAGACTGAAGCAACTAGGATAAATTAGTTCAACATCTGCACACTACAGCATTAAAAAGTGCTTAGCAATTCCAGAGCACGATTTCTAGAGTGGTGATTAAATTCTGTTGAAAATTTAATTATTGTTATATATGTACACATGGAAAAGTTTGTTAACAGTAAATGCCTTGCTCTTGAAAAGTAACTATGAATAACGAGTGGCGGTTGGCAGCTACTCGATTTGAATCATAAGAAAAATGACAACGAGACTAGAAAGCTGGGTAAAACCTGAACATTACACGTTAGCCATCGAGTTTTTAATAATATTCAAATCAACTATTGGATTTTTAATGAGTGCGATGCTCCTAACTGAAGTATTGTGCGGTGAAAAAATCTAAAAATCCCGGCGTAATTAAAAAGAAGTAAATAACAAGGGCAAATTAAATCATTAAGTCATCAAGGGATCATTTATTGAATAATCGGAAGGCCAGAAATATCGGCAAATACGTTATTCTTGTAAATATTTTGCATTAAAAAAGATTATGAAATATAAATACAAAAACATTGTCCTTAATTGCCGGCAACAATCATGTGAATGTTTTTCGATGATACAATAATTTGTTTGCATTTCTGCGTTCCTGTGATAGCCTCAAGCCTGTTGCTGTCAAATTTACTGTACAAAACAGTGCATGTTGAGTTTGAAGAGCTCTCAGCATCCATGTAGTTTATGATTTCAGGAAAGAACACAGGGTACAGAGGTAGCTGGTAGAAGACAATATTTCTGATGCCTCTAATTCGATATCTAAAAGAAAAAAGGATATTTTGATTATTAAATGAAAAATTAATCTGACTTCAACAGAAACCATTTTGGCCAGTGGTGGTATTTATCTAACCTCAGTTAAAATAGTTACTTTTAAAAAAAGACAAGACTGGTTTATGATCCTTTAAACTATGAATTTTTATTCTTTGAATTGCAGATCTACTTCTCTAGTGGTTGATAAAGCACTCGCTTTATGACCAAATTGCGTCTGTGAATAAATTATAAGCTCAACAGGTTCAGCAACAAAGAAATGAAAAGAATATATAAACAGCAAAAAGAGAATCGTCCCCCCTTTTCCTATATTTTGACCACAGTCTAACATTTCCCGACACCTACTGATTATTGGAATGGCTTTTGGATCCAATATCATTTGAGGATTGAATTTGTACTGTTATATCAAATTAAATAATAATAATTAATTACAAATGTGCTGACAAGACCTTAAAGTTTAAAAGAAGTCCATTGGCTTGATTTGCCATGAAACAGGTCCACTAAAATGTTTTTTCTGCATACTGCAATTCATCAGGTACCATCTTCTATCAGAAGGTGGCTACCATGACACTCCAACTATCCCAAAATCTGAGTTTTGGTTTGTTGGCATGGTCATAGATAAAACTAGGCGGCTAATAGTAGAAATGGGCCTCCAAAACCACCTCTACAGTGTTTTTAAAGGGACACCATCCCTTGTTCCAGGAGTTCTTCCGCCCGAAGCCGTTGACCCCTGGAGTCGTAGCTCATCCGCCTTCTTGCCGGTCTCCCGCCGAGTTGGCCGTTGGCCATCGCTCGTAGCCCTGAGCTAGGGAACCCTGCCAGGTGGTACCAGTTGGGTCAGGCTGGACCTATAAGCTAGTGGAGGAAAGGGACGTTTTAATTCCCCATTCATGTCCTGTCGGAGCATGCCACTGCACTATATACTGTAATTAAAAAACATTAAATACAAAAAATACCTATAGAAGAAATAGAACCGCTCCGTGAAAAGAAGAAAATGGCACTGCTTCTGAGTGAACTTGGTCCTTGCTCGTGATATATTTGATCGCTCAGAGTACCTGTGAAAGAAAAAAACACGCAATTCTCGCTTTAACTTCATTAAAAAGAATGCAATAAAGGGATGCTGAAATTCGCATGGAAGAGAAACTTTGATATTGGCTATAGCCGGAGGGTTTGGCAGGAACAAATGCAAATTAATAGACCAGCAGTGAGACTTAATGATGGACCCTATAAAATGCAATCCAAGCTACTTTTCACTCTAAAGCCTCCGAAGTGATTCATGGTCATTGTCTGCTGAAGCTAATAGTGTATTCCTCTAGAGAAACTCCTACGTCGAAATAAGAAAAAAAATTCGTAGAGTCCAGCCGGGCGCTATTTTCCCAGGAAATTAACGAAATGACATTTTCTAATAGAAAATTTTTTTATAGACTATTACAAAGAATTCACTAGCACAAAGTTCCTGATTAAAAACATCTCAAATTCTGCTTTGAATTTACGTATCTCTTGCTCGTCTTCAACAACAAAATTTTCCTTGCATATTGAAGAATATCGATATCACAAGTTCCAAACAACTTTTTTCAGAACCTCTACGGTCACATTAAATCTATAATTAAATAACACCCTGGAGTCTAGCAATCTGGCGTCGTGTAACAGGGGCATAAAATGGAGTGAAAGATAACCCGTCTGGTACCTGAAACCTATCCGAAGTGAAAACCCTTTCAAAGTAGCAACAAATACCAAGGGACTACCAATCAAAATTGACAGCGAATCTGAAGTGACATCCCATTCTAAGTGACAATATATCTTATCTGAAGTGACAACCAATCACTAGTGAAACCAGTCAAAAGCTACAGTCCATCTTAAGTGACAACCAATCAAAACTGACAGCCAATCTGTAGTGACATCCCATTCTAAGTGCCAACATAACTGATCTGGAGTGACAACCAATCACTAGTGAAACCAGTCAAAAGCTACAGTCCATCTTAAGTGACAACCAATCAAAACTGACAGCCAATCTGAAGTGACATCCCATTCTAAGTGCCAACATAACTGATCTGGAGTGACAACCAATCACTAGTGAAACCAGTCCAAAGCTACAGTCCATCTTAAGTGACAACCAATCAAAACTGACAGCCAATCTGAAGTGACATCCCATTCTAAGTGCCAACATAACTGATCTGGAGTGACAACCAATCACTAGTGAAACCAGTCAAAAGCTACAGTCCATCTTAAGTGACAACCAATCAAAACTGACAGCCAATCTGAAGTGACATCCCATTCTAAGTGCCAACATAACTGATCTGGAGTGACAACCAATCACTAGTGAAACCAGTCCAAAGCTACAGTCCATCTTAAGTGACAACCAATCAAAACTGACAGCCAATCTGTAGTGACATCCCATTCTAAGTGCCAACATAACTGATCTGGAGTGACAACCAATCACTAGTGAAACCAGTCAAAAGCTACAGTCCATCTTAAGTGACAACCAATCAAAACTGACAGCCAATCTGAAGTGACATCCCATTCTAAGTGCCAACATAACTGATCTGGAGTGACAACCAATCACTAGTGAAACCAGTCCAAAGCTACAGTCCATCTTAAGTGACAACCAATCAAAATTGACAGCGAATCTGAAGTGACATCCCATTCTAAGTGACAATATATCTTATCTGAAGTGACAACCAATCACTAATGAAACCAGTCCAAAGCTACACTCCCTCTTGAGTGACAACCAATTAAAATTGACAGCAAATCTGGAGTGACATCCCACCAAAAGTGACAACATATCTGATCTGGAGTGACAACCAATCATAAGTGAAACCAGTCCAAAGCTACAATCCATCTTAAGTGACAACCAATTAGAATTGACAGCCAATCTGAACAACATATTTGGAGTGACATACAGTCACAAATAATAACCAATCCGGCGTCGAAAATTTCGAGCCTTGGACTGCCTGCACAACATTAATGCGAATATGGGATTTGGGAATCCTGCCCCGAATTGAGAGCCTCTTTGCGATAAATCTTGAAAGACAAATGTATCTCTGCAAGATAAAACTTACTCATTTATCTGTAGAAAATCAAGCTCTTCCTTCTTGAAGTAATTTCGTATGCGAACAAAATCAAAGTATGATGGAATGAATATCGCTGTGTTCCGGCTCAATGGATTATTTAACTCGGGCAAGACCTGGAAGAAGTTATTTAAAAAAGTTATGTATCAACTTTGTAACGTGTTATGTATCAAATTTAACATGCAGTGAATTCACAAGGATCTTATTTACAAAATTTTACTATAGAACAACAAAGGGTGTGCTCTGTGCTCGGTAGAATAATTTCAAGCACCTGGTCCACGAAACCGTCCACACAGAAATTGATTGTGCGATTTCAATTTGTTCCTATCTCTAACCATAATTCAAATTTTGTTTATACCGTAAATGCTTATGTTTACTGCAAAAATCGTAATATATATTGCGTTTTCTAATATATCCATATCAAATGGCGTATTCTAATATAAACAGAACACAAACGAATAGATAACCAAGAGCCTTTTTCCTACCTTTTTAATAAAGTAATCGAATCTCTTATCTGCTTCATTCTCCAAAGATTGACAATCAATCCGATGAAAAACCTACACAATGGCAAAATGATTCTAGTAATTAATTTAAGATACTTCATGGAGACAGATGAATTCTACTTAAAGATTAAAACTGAGTCAGATGACAAAAAAACTAAAAGATTCGACAAAACTCAGGGAAATGCTCTCTCGTACACCAGGCTGGAAAAATAGAATCGGCAAGAATGAGTTTCCTTTCTGCTTATTTCGTTGATAGGCAGTGCAATCAACAAGTTACATTTTTCAATATTGTATTTAGATTGAAACGTGAAATAAGGGACAAAGCAAATTCATTCATATCACACTTTTTAGGACTGCATGGAGAAGTGGAACAATATCATTGCTTACACAAACTACTTTTTTGTCTGATATTCCTCACTCCCTAGTGTATCAAACATGAGATAGTTACTAAAAAGTGACTGAAAGTTAAGTTCTCTTTCAGATCGAAATAAAGCTTCAAACAGTTGAAGAGTCAGATCAAGAAAATGTCTTTATACATAACCCATTAATCCAAAACAGTTATTAAGCAGGAGATGCTTTAAAATTTTCGTAATAGGATAAGTGGATTAGATTTCAGATCTGAAGAATTACATCTAACCTTGCCGGCCTAGAAGGAATCGATTCTGAAAATAAATGGTTTGTTTATGGGTTTTTCGTAATGTGTCAATGACCTGGCTTTTGGTCAGAAAACTGTCATCACCAAACCAAATATATCCTGCAAAGACTATTTAGTTTAGTCAAATAGTTGCAACCACTTTCCATTTAAAACGATAATAACACGGTATTCATAAAACGATCCTTGTCTTTTATCTCAAGTGAACGCGTTCTTGAAAGGGTTTTGAATCTCCCACCAAAGAAAGATGACTCTAGGTTTCATCAAAAAACTATGCTTTACCTGTGGAATCTGCAGCACAACTTGCCTGACGGTGCCAGGTAGCGACGCAGCTTTGATTCGGACCTTTCCAGCGTAATCTTATAGTTAAGGCAACTAGCATATTGAGCCGTTATTTAAAAAAAGTGAAGTTTGGACCAATGCTAAAAATAGCAATGAAATTTCACTAAATATTTTCGATATTCTACTGGTTGGATGTGTGAAATGCTGTTTATTGTTTCCAGAAAAGAGATTCAAAAAGTATTTACAAAGATTAACGTAAAATGTACATAGAACGGCACTAAAATTCATAATGAGTAAAAATCTCTCATTTCAGAACGAAAAGAAAAAATTATTAAGTGAAAAAGATACTGCTGCAATATTTGTTGAAAACTGAATTCAGTTCTGGTGTGATAAAACTACTGAAAAGCAGGGTCTGTCGATAGAGTTTTGACCTACAAAGGAACATGAGAGTTAGCAAATCGTCTTTAGAAATTCGCACACTTAAATGAAAGAGAAGCATGATGACTTTAAATTTTAAAGTATCGTTTCATTTGTAAAATTCTGAAGACAATCAATTAATGATCTTAAGAATCAACAAAGTATTTGATATTGAGCAAAGATATTCCGTTTGTCGTTTTACTCTATGTTTCAAAGTCTTCTTTGATTGACTTCTGTAAACACATGGGGATGTGTTGTTTCTAACTTTTTTGAAGTAAAAAATGAACCTTGTACAAAAACGAGGCTTAATCCATCAGAGTTCGGAGAAGGTATATAGGAATATATCAAGCAAGTCACGTGCAAAACATGCTTGATCCCTCTGCAGCAATTTGGAGTTAAAAAGCAATGTTTAAAGAGGGGGATCAGGATCGTCAAACACATAGGTGACCTTATAATTAACATTAAAGGCAATCGACAGATACTAGGAGGGCTTAAATCGTCTCTCACTAAAGATTTGACCAATCAGTGAATGGGATTCCACTCGCACGCTTATTGGTTGACAGATGGCTTAAACCACTTTTGTACCTGTCGATTGCCTCTAATGTTTCGGGACTTATGCAGTATGCAGTAATTGTATACAAAAATTAGTAACATCAGAAAAAAATTAATTGAATTATTAAAAACTCACCATGAATTTAAAGCCCACATTCTTACTCTAGAGAAATCAGTTTCTCGAGGTTGCATTGGTTGAAGGTTGATATGATTAAAAATATCCTGTGGACAAAATAAAAAATATTTAAGATGTATAAGATGATACTTTAACATTACAATAAAGATGGGATTCACGATTTTTCAATACAATTACTAACATACACCAGATGACTCTACCTTTCCAAATTTATCGAAACATACACTGCAAAAATTTAAAGGAACGAGATACTCCTGTAATGTGCCACTGCAAAAATTCATGCGATAAGTACTCTCACTCTCGCAATGCATATAGAGTTCTAAAGTGTGACGTCACCAAAAACTGTTATTAGAATTTTTGAATCCTAACCACATAACATAAAAGATCTTTATGAGATACTTCCACATATGCAAAATTCGTCAAATATGTCTAAAATCAGTTGAGATATTGCCAGTGAAAGATTTGAAGTTTGCTAACGAATCACTGTTATTTTCGCAGATAAATCACTGTTGTTAATAACAAGACCAAGATATTGAGGTTTGATGGGGACAGAGCCAATACACATGTGACCATATTTCAGCCAGTTCGTAACACATTTGACTGATTTTTCATATTTAGAGGTATTTTATGATACTCTTTCAGACTATGGGAGCCAAATTCAAAAATTCTAAAAATAGATTTTTGTGACGTCATCACTTTAGAACTCTATTGCTTAACCAAATAGATAGACAAGATTAGCAGTATAGCCCTAATAGGTAAGACTACATTCTTATTCAATTTACGCTACAAGTGGAAATATGCTTATATTTACCAGAACATGCTCCCAGTTTTGCATAAGAAAAACGTCAGCTTGATCAACAATCAACACTTCGATTGACGACAGAAAATCATATTCACGTTTCTTCTCACTGTTTACAAAAATACATTCAAAATTAACTCACAACTTCTAGCTTATGGCAAACAATGTAATAGACCAGTGGCGTAACAAAGGCGCCTGGAGCCTTTAGGAACAAACTGAAACGGGGCTATATTCTACGGATTCCCGGATGGTCTCATCCATTGGTGAATAGCATGCTAATCAGTAAATCAAGATGAAAAATGATGATTTTTCTAGTTAACTAGAAGAGGCTTCAGTTACATGCTTCAGTTAAAGATCTAATAAAATCTTTGAAAACAAGTTGAACTGGATCGAAGTCTTCAAATCATGGATAAAAAAGATCTTTGGGCCTCTTTTGATTGGAGGCCCTTAGTTGTCGAGCTATGGTACCCTAAGCCACTTAATGGATCTTAAAATAGGCATCTTTAACAGTGAATCGCAATGCTGAAGAAATCATAATTTATGGCACTATTAGGGGTGAAAACTTTAAGAGCTAATTCTTATTAATTGCGGCCTTTTTTATTCATTATCTGCTTTTATGGTATCACTTTACAGAGTGTGGAATTAGATTTCAAATATATTGACCTAGAATTCTTTCAACAACTGATCATGTCAGCCCTATCACCAACTTTCTCAAAAACATATCATAATTTATGATCTGTCAATTAGTTTTAACCTTTTCTAAATCTCGATTTTGATATAGAAGGAATATTAGAATTCAGCTAAAACAGAGCACTTTGACTGATTTGTCATACTTTCAGTGATACAAACAAATAGATCTTGCTGACTCGTGGACATTCAATTATAGATCATACCCCTCTCCACCAATAATCATTCTGAGTCCCAGCGGAGAAGCCACTATGATGTCACTCGAGTAAAAATCCCCAAACAGCTTCAACGCGCGTCTCATCACCGTTATTCCAATACGAAAGCAGTCATCGGTATTTCCATTAAACATGGCCTTGAAATCATCTAAGAATCAGCAAACATAAATACATTAAAATTAGTGTTCATCGGTCTGCCAGAAAGAGCTAAATGCCAAATAGGCAGAGCCGTGCACGCTTTTGGTATAAATATCGGACGGTTCTAAGTTCTTACTTCAAGTTTCATGATTAATGCGATCACTAGGCAGCTGTGTATGGCAACTGTTTTGTGGGGGGTGGGGGGGGGGGACTTTTGCGTAGATAGCTTAAACATTACAATACAAACGGTTGAGAACTGACTTCAAAATGCACACCAGTTACGGCGCACGAAAAAAGAAAAACATGAGCATATTTTGAAAAAGGCTAGAAAATTCGATATCAAATTCACTGGTAATTGTAAAGTTGGTGCCGAGCTGGGGTATAGCTAACGCATAGCTGACCTAAGGACATTAAACATTGTGATGATTACATCAAACATCTCACCCGGCATATAACGCTGGCTGTTTTCAGGCTGCGAAGTGTCTTTGAACTCATCATAGAACCTTTTCTTGTTCATAACCTGGGCCTGGAGAAGGAAAGAAAGACATATAATATACAGGAATAATAAATGTCAATGAATACATAAGAAAAAGAAATAAAGCAAAGAAGAAAACAGAAGCAGAAAAGGAGAAAACAAAATCGCCCTGAAGATCAGAAAAGTTACTTTGGCACAGAACGTTCCTTCAGTTACAAATCAGAATGTATCACTCGTACCTCTGAAAAACATTCAATTTAAGCACTTAAGGATAAATCAAACCCTACTGGTTACATTAATAACATCAATACCTTACAAAAACTATTAACAGATAACACAAAACGAACACACACTGATTTAAGATAAATACTATTTATGAGAGATAAATTTGAAAATGGGACTTATAATATTTACACAGACACATTCATTCCAAACTGTAAAAACTAAAAAATCAGTTTGTTTTAGCAAGCTAAAGAAGAAGAAAAGGGACGCATGGAGGCTTAAACATGACTTTAAAATTACCTTTTCGTTCGTAGGAAGTGTTAGTTGTATAATCAAATTGATGATTCGAAGTGCACAGTCACGAAACGGTACCAGTATCAGCACCTTTGGTCGGGCGAGACCTTGGTCTCTGAATTCGCTAATAAAGGCAAGAAATGATTATAAAAAGATTGAAGTATAATTTTATATGTCAATATTCAATACAGATTGCCTTTGGCTTGCAGCGTAGCCCAACAACTGATCTAATGAGCTATGATGGAACCCAGAATACTGAATATGTCACAATAAACAGATCTTGAACGGCTGTTTGGCTGGAGATTCTAAACCATAGTCGCTTTTGCAATAATAAAGGTAAACAGGAACTGCTTGAAGACCCATCACTCCTATGTATTACATTACCAACTATCGGAATTATACTGCCAACTATCCGATTACCTTTTCAAGGTTCGAGTTAGAAAAGAAAGAAGTCTTTGGTGACAAATCTTAAATGAATGATTCAGTGGCTTGATACAATTTCATCCAAAAAACTCACGGAGTTTCTGTATTATCCTTTTGCGATTGGACAATCTTGGCATTACTCTTTAGAATCCGAGACCTAGTTCTGCAAAATAATTTCACAACTAAGACTTTGAGAAAGATCGCTTAAAATACATCAATCTTTAGGTGTTGCTAAAATATAGTTATTAACATTCTTGAAAAAGTTCTTTCATTTCATCATTTAGAATTTGTGTAGCACATTCGCTAAAGCACAGGTAGACATGCTAATAAATTAATTAAAAATGTAACCAATCTAGCTCTGACACCACATTGATTGAAAAAATTATCCACATGAAAAATTAAGAGTTTCCAGAGAACAGTTTGAAAAATTTTGCATACAAAAATCACCACATAAACACTTGCGTACTTTAAAATGTGATTAACAGCGTGAAGGCAATATAGTTTTCGAATTTCTTCACCATTGTCAAAATCTCTCTGTGAGTAAAACACGTCCTACAAAAGAGAAAATCCATAACCTTAGACCTAAGATGACTATTATTTGATTTTGTGTTAAAGGCAAACCTTCTACTTCTTCTAAAAGATTTAGTTTATAATCGCACAACCCACCTTTAAGTTTTGCAAATACTTACGAGAGATGAATAATGACTGCATCAAATGCTACTTTCCACATAATTTAAACCAGCCAAGTCCCAAAGTTACAAACATTACCAACAATAATATGACAGTACGTAAGTGCACTTGGAAAGCTAGTGCATTCCCCATCTCAATCCTCTTAAATGCAATAAAACTCCTTTGCCAGTTTATATCCAAATCATTGTCATATATTTGTTTATAAGAAAAGGCTTGAAAAAGAACACCATACAGCCTGCTACCTGCCAACAAATATTGTACTCTAAGCTTCTCACAGATGCATTAATTTTTACCACAATCTAAATTTTACAACCAACCAAAGCACCAATTGAAGAACCAAACAAAGAACCAATCTTTCTCTCACGCATTCGTTCCGCAACTGGATTCAAATTTTCTGCATACCTTTGGACATCATCCGACATTTATACTCTGATAAATATCAGCTGAAAAGTACTTTAGTATGATATGTTTCGCTCTTTTGTGCTATTTTCAAATTTTGTGGTACCAAAGGCCTATTTGGTAATAATCCAAACTGACAAATAGCAGTTGTTTACCTTATAACAATTTATGTGGTTGAACAACGAATTCTGAAGCTCAGTGAATGTACCTAAAAAAACAAGAATGAGTAGCCAATGTAAACATAACAGGCAGTTCAAAAAGGTGATTCCAATAGCCAACTAATAACTGCTAGATATATGTTTTTTGAAGAAGAGGATGAAAGAAAATTATTTTGGAACAGATGGTTATCGTAAATAAAGATGGTTACGTTCTGATCATAATAAAAAAATTACCAAATTTCTTGAAAAAGTTAACTATATCTTACTTTAGTGGCTAGATGTAAAATCATCATTGCTGAATATATTACATTGAGAGAATAAAAAAAATTTGTATAAACACCTTGTTTCAATTCACTCTGATTTACTTTATGCCATCTTTCAGTCAACTTATCTTTGACCTGTGGGTACAAAAATATTACAAAAAAACTCGAAATGGACCCTGTTTATAGTTACTGCCAAGTGCTGCAAGTGCAATTTTGATTTTCCCTTTCTAGCTCAATTGGAAACATTGAAGATACCCAAAACAATATAACTTGGAAATATCAGGTATGAATTTAGTGTTAAAAGCAATGGCATCTTTTTAATAATTGATTAGGTACTCTCAAAATAATCAATCTTCTAAAAAGCTTCCATGTACCTCTCCAAAATCACAGAAAAGTTGAAACACCATCAAAAGGAAGCTGAAACCAAAGCTTACAAAAATATTTCAGTATTTTCCATCATTAGTCATGCTACATTTTCTGAATTATTGGACAGGTAAGATTGGCAATGTCATCCTGTGAGTTTTCAGGCCTCAAAGTTATAGACCAAGCAACAGTTTAAAATTTAGTCACTATGTTTCACTAGACTCTATTGTTTCTCAATCATCTTCTGGTTAATCTGCCAAAAAATCAAAATTTGATTGGCCTGTAGGTACAGGAGAGGAAATTTGCCACCTTTGCGGCATCAAGTGATTAATACTATATGAAGCACAAAAATTATATTTTATGGAAAAAATTTCACGAGCAACAGGATATTTCAGCAAAAAGTGCTTTGAATGTTTGAGCTTCAGAGGTTGACTCATTATCTGCAGTTAATTCTATTTCAATTGCAACTAAATTTACAACATCTTTTTAACATAAAAAATTAAACCTCCAAGAATCAGTTAAGAAGAGGAATAGCATCGGAAGACGGCCTGAGTTTTAATTCTCATAATTGAAAAAAAAAACAATTGTCTTTCTAGACATTAGAAGAGCAGTAATCTTATACAAAATAAAGGAGTTGACTGAAACAAAAAACTTTGCCACCAAAATTTATCAACTGCAATTTCAGTGCTGCATTAAGATGTACATGCCTTTGCTTTGACCAAGGAAGCCTCTTCAAGGGTGGAGTAATATGAAGATTTTGGAAATATATCCAAAGAATGAAAATCATCTACTAAACCAAAATCTGGAATCTATAAAAAATAGGAATGTATAAAAATAAAGGTAGCTAATTGATAATGATTTATATATATATATTTATATTTATAATGTTTAACTTAGTATGAGTAACACCATGGCACTACAATGTACAATGTTGAAATATTCTTCTTACAAAAGGATGCCCATTTTGTCGGGTTTTTTAAACTGATTGGTGATATGAAGCATCATCATTGCTGCGTTCATAGCTCTTTCATTATTATCACTCTTAGGGAATTATAGGAAATAGCTGCCAGTTTTGAATCATTTAAAGGCACTATTGAGAAAACATTGAGGATTAGTCTTACATTGCCAACTTGATACACACTAGCAGATCAACTGTATAGTCCAACCAATGGGAAATTTAGATGACCAATGAAGTGCGGTAGAGCAAAGTGCTTTTAACTTAACAATAAAAAAGTATAAAATTTCAAATTATTACAAGCATCTGTCTGCGGTCAAAACTTCCTTCCTTCAATTTATTGACAGCTTCTTCCTCAATGTCATTCTCAAAGTGAACTTTGAAGGGATCTATCAATCAAGAATATTTAGCATTGATGCAAGGAAACAGCCTTTAAACATATGTAGAGAAGGAGCATCATAGCTAGACAAAAAGTAATTAATTTTTAAATTGATATTCTACTGTTTGTAGCTGTGGGTTATTACTAATCATCTGTCAATTAATAGTTTACAAATAACTTCCCTGCTTTTTAAAAGATAATGCAAATCTGTAAGAACTATATAAAAAGAAAAAAGAAATCTAGCAAGAACTTGTCACGGCCAACGATTCTCAGTAATCCGGCATCCATTCTAGTGCCACTAACAAGGCCATAACAAGGTAGTACTTAATCAAAGAACAGAAATGCTTATAAGGTCACAGCAAGGCATCTAGCTTGACCTTGAAAATGATGTCTTACTCATATAAGACTATTGCTAGACTTTGTCATTTTTTCCAGATATGATCCATAATTTGATAATAAACAAATAATAGCATACCTTTATATGTTTCCACTTCACCTTTTACTTCTGTGTCATTCTCATCTTCAGATTCCGATTCATTAACATCATTTTCATCATCATCGATGTTGTCTGCTTCTTCCACATCTGAGCTAGATGATTTATCTTCATCGCTTTCCACATTCACATATTTTTCCTGATAGATAAATTAGAAAGGCTCAATGCAAATACATTAATTGGCTGAATAGTGAACCATCATGACAAATAATTTGTTGAAATAAAATCTCTACTCTTTAAGTAATCAAGCCATCAAACGTGAAAATTAACACATACATAAATATACTTAGTATATTTCATTCTGTTCATGGGAGCTAGATCAAAAAGTTATACCATCAAAATTTTGATTACAAAAATTACACTTTTCACAAAAAATGGAAAATGGTTTTGTAAAAAGCAAATATTTTACAACTTCTCCTCTGACACTCTTCAGAGTATAAAATGTCTTATTTTTGACATCTTACAATCTTGTTTTTGACCCTAAAACTGATGTTATAAACTCAAAAGTCAGATAAAAAACCTAAGTATATTGTAAAATTATTGTTATTTCCAAAGACATTTTTGAAAATCTTTATTGAAAAAAATTCTGAAAATTTAAAAGATACATTTTTGAAAAGCATATATTCATAAGATAAACATAAATATTAATTCAGGATGATGAACATATATATGTTCATTCAAATTACATTTTTGTCTTCTTTCACTTCTGCTTCAATGTCTTCTTGTGATTGAGCAACATTTCTCTTGCTTTCAACTTCTGTTTTTAGAAATTTTCCAAGTGTTCCTTTGGCCATCTGCTTGAAGTCAATGGATCCAAGTAGCTTTTGATAAGGAGTCTCATCTTTGCTGAGTCCCTGAAATGTGAAATGCACTCAAACTTGCTAGGTTGATCCAAGGATATTTGGAAACGATGAAGACATTTGTTTTGGATGGTGATCTAAAGTGACTGGAAAAAATCTTCTCGAGAAAGAGTTAGAACTTATTTCAATGGAATAATTTTGTACAGTGGCCAAGGAGTTTTCCTAGAAGTTGATTTTCTAATTTCGTGAAATCTATTGAAAAACCCTTTGGAGGGGGATGGGCTGATTAGATCTATTTCGATTTTTCACTTGCAAAAAAGCAACCGTTATGAAAAAAGCTGCTTGAGAAAGTTGCTTGCCAAAAGAGTTCGAAATAGATAAATAAAATACTAAAAAGGCTTTTCCAAGAGTGTAAAGGGCATGGCCAAGAAAATTTGTTTTCGTCCACCCCAGTTTTTCGAGCTGGTGATGCCACTGATTTTTTAAATGAAATAATTTATCTTAATACTTTGTTTATTTGCTCTTGTCATCAAGTCTTTCTATGGTTCCAAATAAAAGTATCAAGATATATTTCTTATTCTTCTCCATATAAAATGGGTTTGTTTTGTATGTAGATTCACTTAGGATGCCCTGCTTCAAAGTTGCATTGTCACTCTGTCTTTCAATACTTTTTAAAAACTTCACACCTAGCCAACTATTAATGTATATTTCATCAAAGCATTCCAAATGTCTCCAGGATGGTTGTGCTGCAGACTTTACTTGCAAACCTCACTTCTGTGTTTTAGGACATACAGTAGATGCACTAAAGTTGGATTAATCAGCCAATTCATAATGATGGTTTGGATGCAATCCACCTTCCAGATTTCCTAATAGATTCAAGTCCAATTTGTTTAGAGTACTGACTTCAAATATAACCATCACAAACACAGTCTTTCTACTGGTTTTTCACAGTTTCATAGAAAAATGAAAGCTCTAAATAATGTGAAAAATTCCGCTATTTAGACGAAAAATATGAAGTTTTTGAAAACAACCCTCTGCTCTGGTTTGCCTATTTTTTTACAAAATTCATGACTCAAAATCTGATCGATAAACCATGTTTACTAGATAAGTTTTCTACAGTTTGAAAAGAGTTTAAATTTTTATATCGCTTCGAATATTGCCAAAAACTTAATTTTCACAAATACCAGCCTTTAGTTTTCATTAACAGCTTTTTCAATCCAAAAAGCAGTTAAATAACATAAAGATTTATCCGGTTTTAAGTTGACTGTTTTACAAAAATTATTTATTGTATACTTAAAACGATTAATTGTCAAGTGTCTTTGGTGTTGATTCTTATTGAGGGTAGACTGTAGTCTAATATACATAAGGCTTGGGTTTTGTATGTAACTGAAATTGCACACAAGAGAATTACACCATTAAGCATGTTCACCTCATATAAGCTTGCAGATGATCTTTTCTTTCCTCGATTCCTTTTCATTTCCTTATTTAAGAAATTAACCCTGCTTTCGTGACCTCTTACTTAATGTAGCAAGCCATGTGGGAACAGAAAACATTTTCTACCCTTTTTCAAAAAACCTCGTTTTCAAAACTGGTATAGAGGCTAGGCTAAATCTGATTCTACTGCAATAAAACTTTGCAGTATGTTTCTTCAATGCCTACAGTAAACCACCAAAGCTTGACTAAAAATGAGATTAATTGATAACAAAGAAATTCTGACAGTAGATGCCATTTGAGATGAGGAAAAAAATTAACAACGAACTGCGCGTACGAATTTTGTGGAAATTTATAATGCAACAGAACATATTATCGCACGATAGAAGAAAAAAAGGCGCTTGACGTGGACGTGATGTGAACACAAACGTTTCGTTATTTTAATGAGGAATTCATTCCAACTTGTTATATCAGTCTTTATAGTTTAGAGATTATATGTTAGTTTTCGTTTATATATTGCGAATAGTCTGATAGAAGAATGATTAAAAAAAGATTGTTCCAGGAAAAGATTGGTAGAAGCGAGCCATGAGAAAAACAAAAGAATAAATAGCAATAAGGTCTTTATAACTCTGCATGGCATAAAATTTCAAAAATACAAAATGGAGTTCCAGCATAGGTAACAATGCTTTATGGAAATTTCTACGAGATTTCTCACTTTCTACGGTTCCTATTAAATTTCTGTCTACCTCCACCTTTCTGTTTTGATGAGTGTCCTGCATCTTTCTTGCCTCTTTGAAAACCCCCAGGTTTATTTTTTGTTTCTTGTCTATTTTTATGTCCTTGTACACCTTTGCCTTTGGCGGCCTTTGTTTTTTTCCAGTCAACATTCCTCGTTTCCCATTTGGCTTGCTTTTGCTGTCCTTTTGACGTTCCAGTATCTTCCAGCAAGTGGGCAAACTACAAAAAGAGCCAGAAGACCGATAAGTCACAGTATATTTCAGAGCCTGAAAACACAGTTAAAAACGTACAAGCCGAAACACGGAAAAAATAGGTTAAAAAAAGAATAATGAAATCGCAAAAAATAAATGCTGAACAAGCTAAATAACTGAAAAATCAGAATACATTTTACAGGAGCAATATGCTTAAAACAGTTGCCTCCTATAAACGCTAAGAAAACATAAAATATTACAAATGAAAAGGACGACATTTGGATAACTGTAGAGTGTTCTCTTTAATTAATTTCCCGTTATAATTTATAATGCAGCTGGCTCTGATGAAGCCCCGTATGTCAGGGCGAAATATTAGCCTTCACTAATTTACGTGTATTCATTGTTGTTCATTTTCGTCGCATTGCGGTGTTCCTATTTGCTACATACCTTTTCTTTATTCACATAATTTATAATGATGGGAAAGAATTGCAATACTGAGCCTATATGAATCTATTGTTAGCTATTTTGTCGGGATTACATATTCTTATTTCGTACAAACTCTGTTTATTCATGGAAACGTAAAGATAAAACTCATTTCCTCTTGATTCTAATCGACAGGATAAAAATCTTGAAGACGGAAACGGTCTTTATACATCCGCAACATATGTCAGAAACGCTCTTGAACTCCAGAAAAAAATTTCTTAAAAATCTGCCTACTTAAATGGGTTATGGACTGTGTGGTAATTGCATACAGGTCTCTACCATACAGTCTTTGTTCATAAAGTATTGCCTCTTCAGTATGGATTTTTACTGGTCTGGCAGTTAATACCATTAATATGCAAGGATATTGTATATCGTTAAGACAGATGAAAGTTTCTGGTAATTCAGACGTTTAGTTTCTGAAAAAATTGAATTTGTAATACATCTTATTTCGCTGTAGCAGTTCTGTTAGGGGCCATCTTGACCTAGAGACCATGATTTAAACAATACCAGACTAACAATTTGACACTGCAGACATACGTCACAGTTAGCTAGACACTTCTCATAGTCTTTTTGAAACTAGAGATAATTCAAATATTGTTTTCACTTCTCAGAGTTTCATATAAACACGTGATAGGACTTTTGATACCAAGGAAACAATACACAAACATTCAGAAACAAAAATGGAAGAAAAGACATTAGTATATGATGGCACCTCTTCAGCAGCAGCAAACATTGAACCAATATTGCTATCCCTACAAAAAAATACTTCCTTAATCAACAACTGATATCTGCAAAGTCATCATATACCAAAACTGACACAATGAAATATATTCATCTTTCTTAAACTTTCATTAAATATGGAAGTACTCATTGATCGTATTAGTCGAAAGGCTTTAATTTTGGAATAAATATCAACGAATAATAAAAGCTTTGTTCAAAATTTCTTATCACCGAAAAATGTTCAATTGCCCTAGAAGGAAGTTCGTGGCTGTTCAGCGATGTTAAGAACTAGCTATTCAAACTAATAAAATTAACAAGACCAAAAAAAAGACAGAACTGGGAGGACCCCTTGAAAAACAGCATTGCTGAAGAGTTATCCTCCTTAGATATATGAAATAAAATGAACTGAAACTAAAGAGCACAAGGTCAAGAAGAATGTTCATTGTTGATCGGTTAAACTTTGAGAGCGTTTGAACAAAGCTATACGGCACGAGAAAATGAAAAAACAAGTTTACCTTGTAGATGTTGCTTCGTCGGGGTCTTCGTTGATATCTGAATCACTCAAGTTCTCCAGTAATGCCTGAAAGAACAATTAACTCAAACACTCTGCAAGATCCTATGAAGACATCTCAAGCTCCTTCAATACATAGAAAATCGTGTACTGTATTAAAGAGATGTTGTTTCTGTTATTAAATACAATTTAGAATCCAACACAACTATTCAAATTTTGGAAGCAGAAAGAGTTATTTTTGATGATGCAGTAAATTTTCAAATAGAATAATAAAATGTCGTATAAAAATACAAAAAATTAAAGAAAGTATTGAAGTGATAAGCGAAAATACCATTATTAGAAAAGAAACACCAACCAAAAAACAAATAGTCTGGAGGAATTGATCACATCCTCTACGGAAAGCTAGCGTGAATTACACAATAGGCGCCCCCAACAATTAAGCGCCCTGGGTCAAGGTAAACTATCTTTTGACAAACGCCCTTGTTGAAGAAGCACACTGGGCACAAGGTCGAAATAATGAATAAACGACTTTGATGATTTTGTTGTTATTTACAGTTACAGTGATAAACAATTTTAAATTAACGATCGGAAGAATCGAACCTTTTCGTAATCTGCATCGGAAAATTTCTTCTTTTTACCCTGTTTTGTCTCATTTTCAAAATCATCCTCATCGAAATCTACGAAAACAAAGCAAAATCAGATCTTACAACGATAAAAACAAACAAAATATCGCTAACAAGCATGCAATTGTTACCTTTTGGTGTCATCGCTTATTGCATTAGAAGGTCTGTATGGTGTTACAATACTTCAAGATGATAATCTAAGAACGCATGATACAAAATATTGAAATTAGGGAAAATACCTTCATCCTCTGAAAATTGCATATTGTCATAATCAAAGTCCCCTGCAGAAAAGAGAATTTAAATTAGAATGCATTCCACTTACTGCTTGATCTAAACCCAAGAAAAAAAATGTAAAAAATGCAAATATTAACTGTGATCCACCCCTCCTCCCGAAAATTAGGTCCTTGTAAGCAAAAACCTTTTCTATCTCTTCCAACGTTTTCTAGATAGATCTCTCAAACCTGATTGCTCGGGTCGCTCATAGCGATCTATGGAGATAACCAAGTTAACCTTGGTGTTACTGAAGCAATTGCATAGCAAATAGGAAGAGATAAGGACGTATTAAGAACAGCAACATGAACAAATCGTTTTCTTCTTTGTCTTCAGAAATGACAAGCAAGGAAAAGTGAATCCGAAAGAATTTGCAAAAACAAACGAATGTTTTAAACATTAAACAGACGAATCATAAAGTGAGCTCTAGTTTTCTTTCAAAATTAAGAGAACAAAAAGGAGCAGAATTGGAGGCCCACCTTCATCTGAGACATCGTCACCTGCATTGTTGCCATAATCATCCTCATTTTCATCGTCATCATCATCATCATCATCATCATCATCTTCACCTCTCGCTTTTCTCTTTTTGGACTTCGGCTGAGCATCCTTGGTCTTCTGCATTTCACTGGAAGAAAACAGAAAACTTGAAGAACATATGTAAGTAGCTTGAAGAAAACATGTTACCGTCACAAGGAGGGAATCACGGCGACGAAAATTAAATCATTAACGACTGATATTGATATCAAACGCCTGTATCGAATTGGAGAAAGCTAGCAGTAATGAAAGATGATGTCGCTTCTTCTTCATAGACAACAAGTAAATCAAATAACAAAGAAAAAAAGATGCATTCTTGGTTCAATTACAATAAATATATACAGTTGCATGCAGCCTCAATTGCTAAACAATGATAAGATAGGACATGCAAGCTTGAAAAGGCCATGATAAAATAAAAATTGCATAATAATTACCCCGCAAAATCTAGATCCACTCCTTCTCCTTCATTCTCATCTAAAAGAAATCACAAACGAGAAATGTCAAGCTTAGTTGAAAATCTCTAAAACAATTAAAATTATCATCAATAAAAAAGTAAGAGTTTTTAAAATCAAAGTAATTAAAACTGAGAAAATACCTTCGATGTCTAATTCTGCATCAAGCTTTCGCTTTTTCTTTTTCCCTTTCTTAGAATCTTCGATTTCAGTTTTCTTTTTGAAATACCTGAGAATTATAAAAAAGGTTGATTCAAATATTGATCTAATTTTGTGAAAGAAAATAGACAATTACCAGCAGTTTAAAGAATTGCAAACCCATATGAACAGCAAATCATTCGCCGTATGAATTAGGGGAGCTTTGCACATACTAGTTCCTTCTGTGTATTGCAAACTGCATACCACGAAGAACCGTTGCTGATAGGTTCCGAAAGGCTATTTGCAGTGGGCGTAAAAACATCCTTCAAGAATTCTTATTGTAATATATCAAGATCTCTCCATAACATTGAAAAAAACAGAACACATTCAAACTGAAATATTCAACAAGTTACCGTAGAATCCTGTTAAGTCGTATCTTCAAGTTGGGAAAGAGTATGATTTGACTAGCAAATGCCCGACTTGCTAATGACGGGGTTCAACGTTTAAATTGAATAAGGTAGCAAAATATGATGGGAATTGAAAACAAGTTCGACTTACTGAAAGTCCAAGTTATCTGGTATTCGACTTAACGGGATTCAACTGTATTGTTGAAAAGTTTGAATCGAGACTTTACAGAGTGATAAGGTTAGAATGAATACAGCTAGATGAATCAGAGCATGCGTCATAATTTACAATAGAAAACAAAAGGAATAGAGGGGAATTAACAATTAAAGTGAAAACAATACCAACTGGTAAAAGAAGATTTCGTCTTCGCGAACTTTTGTGATCTTCTTGTCCATAAACTCTTTTGAATTCACTGCGTTAAAAATATCAAATTGAAAATACGACAAAGCAAATATTCGAAAAGTTAATAAACGCAATTCCAAAAAACGAAGCGAGAGAGAAATTCAAATATCAGCGACATGACGATATTATAAGATATTAAAGCAAATAGCAAAAACTAACCTAAGTTATGTCTAACAAATAGGATTTACATCAGCTTGTAAGTTATCATTTAGGCCAGGTGTTTGATTTTAGGCAGCGCAGTGGCATGGCCTAAGCTGATTTTGAATGGAAAAGCCCGAAATAACAAACATAGCCCACCTGGCAATTCCTTCAATCTTTCGGACGTCTTTCTTGGCTAAAATATTACAGAGTTACCTTTATAATGTTTTTACTGAAATTCAGCAAAGCTTGGCCACAATATCACAGAAATTCAACGAAAACAAAGCAAAATGACAAAAACGCAAAATGGAAACGCAGTTGTTTTATGATCGCAAAAAGTGAAACTCAGAAGCGGAGCTGCATCTTTGAGCCGTCCTGTTCTATACACCCAAGCGTGTAAACTTCTGTCTTCATGGCAGGGATGACAGGCTGGTTAACAGTTAGCTTCATTAATAAGGCGAAACATATCGATTAGAAATATATAAGGTTTCCCGAGTTGAATGGAGTTAAGAAGCATCCAGCGTTACAAAAATAATAAATGCTTATTTACCTGCATTATAGAATTTCCATGTTCTAAAAAACAAATTATACTTTTAAGATGTGGATAAAAACTTTAAGATCATATAAGCCCTTGTTTGTGTTGAAGACCTGGTGTGTCTTTGGTTCAAGAAATGGCAGAAAAAATTGAGAATAAAACTTCCGTAAGCCAGAATAGGAAATGTTTTAAATTGCATTAGAATATGCACTCACTGATGACTGATGAAAAAAATAAATCAAAGATAAATAAAATCATTTGAAAAATGATAATATTAATCTAACTAGTATTTGGGAGATCATGGTTCTTCTTCTTCCTTAGGCAAGCAATTCTTCCAGTTTCCGCAATACTCACAGAATAAAGACAACTGGAGCCATTGATACAGAAACAGGAACAAAATTAAAAGCATAAAATTTTAGAAATTATAACAAATTTCAAAATTACCTTTTGGGTTCTTTTTAGGATTTTTGTACATGAAACGGTCCAGAAACCTGCAAAAAATAATATATGCTTGAACTTTTCTTGGTTTGGAGCTGAAATATTGAAAGCTGACCATTACCGTCATCACAAGAACTTTAACACACTGTAAGCGTATTAAACATCTTGGATATCAAAAGCATCTATACATCCGGTAAGAGAAATGGCAGATTTCCAAATACAATGCCCTTTGTAACTGAATACGAATGCTTTTTGCAAATCCCATTGAAAAACCACAGTGCATAAAACATTCATGTTGCCCATAAAATTCTAAATGTTCCCAATAACAAAATGGACAAATATATCGGGAACAGCCTTTATACTGCTTTTACAGTGATCAAGCAAAATTACACTGAATGTTACCTCGCGAGAGTGAAATCCTGAAGTGGGTCGCCTTTATATTCTATAGGATTACCCTTCAAAGTAAACATAACAATGGTTAATCTCTATACCACAAGATGATAAAAAAATTTTTACCAGTCTGACATAAAGTGCTCGATGCCGTTTGGGCAGAGTTGCCAGATGATTGCATTAAGCGTGAAACTCGGAGTAGCCATTTAGAACCGTCCCGTTATATACAACAAAAGCGTATACAACAATTTATATATTCATACAGAGAAAACGCTCTCGAGTAGCGGTAGCTTACAGTAAACGGTATCCTTTAATACTGCAAAAAATATCTGTGAAATTTTTGCAAAACAGGTAAGCCAGAGGGTTATCAGTCTATTTCTGACTGCATCGTTAATTGCCTGAATAAACACTTCTTTTACATAATATATATCTTATTGAAGAAAAGTAAGACAGCGGCAAAAGGAGATTGGTCTGCTTCTCAAAGTTTGAGGCCTAAAGGGTCTGATGATCAATTAGGAGTTTCCTATTTTACCTGGACATGTTTACTAAGAAGCAATACATCTAAGTACTTGACGAACCTAACTTATTACTCCATGGAGAGCTTTAGACTTATATCATAACCAGAATAAACAAATTTAATGTTGACCTATCTCCCGTAAACTGATGCTTGATGAATTGATGTCTGGTTGCATCATGCATTGTAACTAAAACAATTCTGTTCTACAAACAAAAGCGTAATAGCCAGGGTCGTGTCAGAACGAAAATCGTGGTGCATCAAAATCATTTCCTTGCAAAGAGCGTTAATATACTCACGTCAAGCACAAACTGCGCAAATCGGTTCACGGAAGGGTGATAATGCTTAATGAGAGGGGAAAGCTCCCAGGCACAAGAAAATTGAGCTCCACTATAAAGTGGATTTCGGCATTGGATATCGTAATGATTTCTCTTTAAGTCAGCACGGAAGGTCCAACCAGACTTTTGATCTGAATTTTCATCAATCTTTTCATTTCCCGATTGGTTTTGTTCTACAAGGTCTTCATTGGGTGCTTTAAATGCATCGTCACTGGCATCTTCAAAATGCTCATCTTCGTCATCTTCCTGTTGATAAAAGTTTTTGTCAAATGTGGAGGTCAGAGGTCTTATTACAAAAACATTACCTTTGATTATGGGAAGTTAAAGAAAACCAAAGAAAATTCGAGAGAGGTTATAAATTGAGGATAAACATGATCCTTATACGACAAGCTACTTGATTTTTCCGTACACTGTGCTAACGAACTGTGTTTTGAAGACGCTCATATCATTGACATTCAGATGAAATAATTTGCTTGTGCGAGCTTCAATGCGGTATTGTAAATTTTGCCTGTGCACGTTTTAGCGCTGTGATAAAGCTCTTTAGTAGTTCAAGTCCCTCCATATTAACCTAAGCAACGAACACATCTAGGCAGAAAATTTATGAATCGTAAGTCACAATCTTAGGAAAGCAAAAAACAGACGAAGTTGGCTCAGTGAAACATACACATAGTGGGATTACAAGATCTCGAAGTTATGGGACTGTTATGAACTTATTTCTTAAATAACTCTTATGTAAAAATAATGCACATTGGCTCATGGAAGTCAATTTGAGCCTTTAAGAGTCTTTATTAGCATCAGATAAAGCCATGGGCCTTTGATAGCATATGCATGTCTGACGAAAAACTACCTCTGGCTGCATAGTGAGGCTTTTGACTCCTGACTTCAACTTCAGCACCTTGAAAAAAGCATTACACCAAGATAAAAGCCGATTCCTGATAAGAATTGGAAACTAGAATATAGCAAAACAAAATTACGGTTCATGCGATAAATTCTGTATGTATTTATACCTATATGGAGACGATAACAGCACGCATAACAATTCAAACTCTCGAAAAAAATACACATTATTCTTTAGATAGCTTTTAACTCTGAATTATAAAATCTACATAAATTCTACGTTAAGATAGATGATTCTTGATATAAAACAAAGCCAACAGTACTGTAGAAATAGTTAAGGCATTATGGACATAAATATACTAGCTTACGTGCTGTACAATGTAATAGAATAAAGCTAAGATTTTACGTAAAATTGTACTAGGAAAAGAGAACGAATTTTATGCGACGTTTCTAGCATAGCCCTTTTGAATTGATAACGGACTATGCTCGAAACGTCATAAAAAATCGTATGTCTTGAAAATACTAGGTCAAGACTACAAAAACAACCTCATCTTCTACTGCATTTCAAAATTTTAAAGAAAACACCAGTTTTCATGCAATGTTAAAAATTAATAGCATAATATATAAACAATATATCATCAAAAAACGACGCATGGAAAACAAAAGGGAATTACTTTGTGTTCCTTAAAGATTAATAATTCCATTAAGAAATATAATTAAAATCAATTTCAGTTCAGAGAAAAAGAAATGACTAACACTCCAATGCATTGAAATTTTACAGCATTTTCACTTCAGGCTATTTAAACAGCTTTCAAAAATAAAGCCGTGATCTTGTTCAATTTTATGAAATTTCATGGACACATAGACATGCAAATTTAATGCTGATTTCTAAATAAACAATCAATGTGAATAAAAGAGAAAAACGACAGAATAACGTCAACTGTCGAAAGACAGCAAAAGAATTATGACACATTAAAGTCATAAAAGAATTTTTTATTTTTTGGAAACGACTATTTTATGGTATTGTCCTCTTTAAATTGAGTAATAAAAAAGCTGGTTTGAGATATGTTTGCTTTTACAACAGCATTTGTTGTACGGAATAGAAAATGTGAACCAACCTCGGAGAGAAGGAAAAGCAGGCCACAGACAAAGTTCGGCTCTTCGGTTGATCCCGATTGCAACAATCTTTTGAAAAATGCCTGTTAAGCAATAACATCAAAAATAAAATAACTCAATAAATATTTTTCTTTGACTAATAAATGCCGAAAAATGATGGTTTGGCTGAAACAAAACAGAGAAAGCATTAATGCAACTACCGATGTTTTGGGTGAACCTGTCAATCATTTCATCACGTGTCACTCCTTTTAAATGGTAACCACTCTCGTTTGAAAGTAAACAACAACCTCTCCGATAATGATTTTTACTGTCGCAAGACTACCGTATGTCTATTATTTTTCCCTATCTTTTTTGTTGTTGGAAAAAAACTAATAAACTAGCAATTGTAAGAACTGAGTATCTTTTAGATAGTTTTGGAGAGATGGTAAGCATACACTCTCAAATGAAAAGATCGAAAAACAAGTCAAAATAACAAAGTATCATAAATGTCTTTCTTTGGCTACCGTGAAGCTTAGGATACAAGCAACCAAGGCAGATTAAACAACAACATATTTGTCCGCACAGAAACAGAGTGTGGTAATGAAACCCAACAAATTGCAGAGAGGATAATCAGAAGAATCCTGCGGACCATACATGTGACCTAAAATCATGGAGGGGTTCAAGACACAATCTTACCTTCACTCTATTCAGTGACGAATCTGCTTTTATTGATTTGTAAATAGTGTTAAGAAACATCGTCCGTTTGGCTGAAGTGTTGATGCCAATGTCAAATAGCTTCTCGTATAAAACGCGATAATAACGATCGGTAAGTGATCGCCTATGGTGTAAAAGAGCCCATTAGAATTTTTGCAAATACAGAAATTTCTGCGTCGAACAAGGTATAGGCAAAACATGAAAAAATTCCAGCTTTTAACAATAATTTGCCACAGTTATGGAACTTTGGTACATGCTAACTTTGATATAAGATCTAAAATTTTCTCGCGGCAACAGCCACTGTGTAACTCAGGTCACACTAGATATTGAATAAATAATAAAAAAGGAGAAAAAGTAATGAAAAACTCTATATATATAGAATCGATATATAAACCCTGAAATTTTTCTCAACCATGCCTGTTTAAATACAAATAAAAAACCTCGCTTGAGTAGTTACAACCATTCTTACTATATTACAATTGAAAGGAGATTTTATGGCACCGTTTTTTATCACTACATCTCTTTTGCTAGACCTAATATTACGGTGTACACTGAAATTAAAACAACCGCCTTCCCGTTAATGGGAGAGAGCACTAAAAGACATCAGGAATGACCTCTTTATGACCTCACCTCGATTGCATAACTTGAAATATCAACATTAAGGCCTGCAATAAAAGAAATGATCGTAAAGGCCCGAAAATTTACCAATCTTAACGGATAAATCTAGAGACAAATTTCCAGAATGTCATAAACCAAGACATTGGCAACACAAAGAAATTTAATTCTATCTTGATCCCATAAAAGCCTGATTGCTCTGACCAGCTGCCTCGGGCTTCCTTCATTACACAGGATAATGGCTACCAGAAATAGTCATAGAAAGTTAATGAAAACTGCAATTGCAGCATAGTTTGATATTTGCAGTCGACTGCAACATAGGAAATATTTTAAAACCTGTAAGCTTGTTTGAAAATTGCTGGTGTGACAAAGCTTGAACAGTGTGTCGATTTGATCATCATAGCGATCTTCTTTGTCTAGAACAACGAACAAGGAGAAAAATGAAGGAATAGACAAAACCACTTCAGAAATCAAGTGATGTAGACTATGGACAAACTTAAAGGAAGGTCAAGGTTCTTCAGGAACTTGCGGTGGACAAAATATAAACCTCAGCGTTGAACATAAATCAAATGTAGATTATACCAATTATAGACATTGAACCCAGTGATATCTCTACACATTCCTCAGTATTTACCATCCAAAAACTGCTCTATTCTCTCCTATTAGTAGCTTGCACTCCTATTAAATTGCTCCTTCCGTTTTCGTTCATATACTCGTTCATCTGATGTACTTAGTGAAACACAAAGTTTGGAAGTAATAATTTTCGCTCTTCGGTTATTTCTCTGAGAAGGAAAATAAATACATGCATAAAACACTGCGATAGCTTAGCCGAAGCTCCTCATTTTGCATGGGCCATCTGACCCAAAAGCGTTAAGTTTTGTTAAATGGAAGGTATTTAAACTTTTGCTTCCAGCCATCTCACCTTCAACAAATGGGAATGCTCTGTTCACTCCACTAAGCAATGCACTAAGCATCTTTGAATCTGATTCGTCACTTGAAGAAGCACGTGCCTGATAAAAGGGATACAACGAATAAAAGACTAATTCTAGGTGCTTGTTTAATCTTTTGCTCCAGTTCATAAGCAAATAAACTGTAAAGACTGTTCCTTGCCACCACCGTTGCTTTCTCTATGCAAAGCAAGCTCTGCTATATCAATTCAACGTGATAAGATCACTCGAATGCATACATGATCCACTGTTCAAGGATAAAAGGGGGGCTAAACCAGGAACGCTTATATCATGTAAAATGATTCTTCTAGTTATTGCTTATGTGTTTTAATATATTCAAAAGAACGATTTGAACCACAAGCAATAACTTTTGTAGAATTAGCTTTAAAATTATTGTTTTAATTTTCCCAAGGAAGTTCTAAGAAAGTTTAGCATTGTCAAATCTGTAAAACTATCAAAAGTCTAGCATTGTTGTCAAAAATTTACCTTGAAAAAAGAGAAGTAAATGGATATGAGTTTACTGGCGACTGCACTTTCACTCTTTGTCAGCATGATTTGATTCAGAAAGCATATTGCATAATATCTAAAAATAATAATGTATAGGTTTGGAAAATGTAAGCAACAAGCCTCAAGACTGTTCAAGGAAATCTAAAACATCGCAGTTATAGCTGGCGATATAGACAGCTCGAATAAGTAATCGCAACTGCGTGGAAAATCAATTTTATTGTTCTTTGTTCGCACCCTCACGTTTCATATTTGGGTGAGTATTGGTCAACAACAGCTTATATTGAGGAGGGAAATTGATACTGTCTGCTGTCAGATTTGGGTGAGTATTGGTCAACAACAGCTTATATTGAGGAGGGAAATTGATACTGTCTGCCGTCGCCTTTACGGTGAAGTTTCGTAGCTACGCCAGGACTATTAAGAATTAAACATTAATGCGGGAAATTTGAACAATTTGTGAGGATTCATAGCAACTGTATCCCTATATTCAAATTGTGATGAAATCAAGTAACAAGATTTTGCCACAAGGCAACAAGATTTTGTTCAAAGGTCATTGTCTTTGTCAAAACGCAACCTTGATGGATCCTACTTACTGGGCTTTGGAAGATAAATTGGTCCGGTAGAGCAATCTTTCAACCTCCTGGATAACAATGAGCTTCATATTGGGATGTTTCACGACTAAAGAAGAAAAATAATTTTGCTGCTTATATCAGTGAAGTATATGTCGCATTTCAAGAATGAGGCTCAAGACTGTGATTACGTAACTGTTATGAATATTTGAGCATTTTTGATGAAAAATTTGAAAGATGAGAATGGCATGACGTCATTATAAATAAAGATCATCAACTGAAAATCACAGAAATTAGTATTTTGATCAAAGAAATCCCAAACTCAACAATTTATGAATTTTACTTTTATTGAAATCACTTCTTTAAATAAAAAACATATCAAACGTGGTGTTTGTAAACAAACCTAATTGACCGAGAAGATAACAGACTCTTGATGCAACTTTTCGCGTCGGGTCACCAAGTTTGTTAATGATTGCTGTTAGAAGCTTCTGTTCCTGTTCAGGCTTCATAGCAAGTAACTCATATAAGATGCCTGTAGAGAACAAAGGAACATACAATAACAGTAGATACAATTAATACTCACTAAAGAAGAACCTACTTTTTACAGGCAAAGGCTGTTATTGGGTCTTGTTTTAAAGGGATGTATTGGAAATGCAGTGTCCGAGGTACTTACATAAGGTTCTTATAAAAAAGTTGCATTTTGAAGATAAACTTGGCCTATGACAAGAGTTCTAAAAATGATGACGTCACAAACATTAATTTTTTGATTTTCGAATTTGGATCGTACAATATGAATGATAGGGTGAGTAAAAGACTATCTGTTTGTGAGCTAAGAGGAAAGCTCAGAGAGACTAGGCTTAGATGGCTAGGAAGAGAGGATACCTTCGTGGGGAGAAGAGTGACAAGCATGAAGGAAGGGAAGAGAAAGCGGGGACGGCCAAAGATAAGATGGGAAGATTGCGTTAGAGGACACATGGACGAGGTTGCCGTCACTGAGGGGATGGCAGCAGACAGGAAGGATTGGAGGAGGATGATTTGCACCAGCGACACCACCTTAATTGGTAAAAGTCTAGAGAAGAAGATCGTATAACGTGAATGGACATCATTAAATAACTCTTAATACGTTAGATCAGACAAATGTGTTACGTATTGGCTGAGATATGGCCACATAAGCACAAGATCTTTCCCCATCACACCTCTGTAATATGGTCTCTGTTTGTAACCTTATGAACAGAGCCAAATTAACAGTAATCCGTTTGCAAGCTCAAATCTTTCACTGGCCATATTTTATCCGATTTTCGATATACATAATTGATTTTGAATAGTTGGAAGTCTTTCATGAAGAATTTCTTTAGTTTAGGTGGTCAAAAGCATAAAATTTCAAAAAAAAAAGATTCTTCTATGACGTCACACTTGAGACCTCTATTCAGCAGACAAATTATAAAATGCTTTTTTGAAATAAAATAATTTACTGTACTGATTACATAAGGGTTTTGCAAAACTGTAACTAGTGAATATAAAAATATGCAATACAGATACTCTCTGCATGAAATTAAAATCCGAGGATGCCGTAGTAAACAAAATGATTATGAAATTATTTTAGCAAAGAGAACTGCAGACTGGGACTCCTAAAAATAGATTGCACCTAACTCAACAGAAGTTTTTAAAATGTCGAATCAAGTTTGATACTTACCAACCGTTTTATCGCGAATACCGGGGATTGTGTCACGGGAGAGGTTCTGAAAATGATAAGAAAGAAAATTTAGAAATGCCAAGCAGAAACATGAGACAGTTCACACTGGTACTGAAGGTGGTAGCGTATTCTTATATGAAAATTCTTTTTTGGTGTCAAAGACACTTCCAACGCCGTTCTAGCATAAGACTGCATCCTTTGCAAGCGAAGTTTCAATCCACGACAACAGTCTTTTGAACGCCCTTTTTCTTCAGTGTTGTTTTGAAAAAAATGAACCATTTCCGGGAAAGATAACCGAAAACGCCCTCTCCCTCTCTCCACACAATGCTTGTTGTAGATTTAAGCATCATAGCTATCTAGAATTAACCCACTGGACCATATCGAACCATTTACCATAGCATAAAACAGCGTTGTTCAATGGTTGGGAGGGGATGAAGTATAAAATGTCCAAACCTTAGTGCAGTGTACTTAATAACAACATTGAAACGTTAATATGATAAGTTAAGGCTAAACGACATGAAGAGAAGGCTATGAAACCAAAAAATCCTTCATGGGCATCCAACTGTTTCACAGAATAAAACAGACGGCAAAAGGCTTTCGTTTTAGCAGATACCAGACACAAATATATTTATCCAAATGAAACTCTTTATAAATTTCTATATTGGCTAATCAATCAAAATGCTAACGATGAAAATAAATTGAAGCCATAAAAACATTTCCATATAACAATTTCCATTGAGTAGGTCATACATTTTTTGCAAAACATTTGTTGCTCAAATGTGTCTCAAAGCAACATACCTGTAAACACTCGACAAACTCTTCACATTTTTGTTTCAGCAAATCCTCATAATACCATAGAATCAATAACCTTACTTCCCCATGTTTCCCAATATCTTTTCCAAATTCTCGTAATCTTGAAATGGGCCACTGTAATAGAAAAATAATTCGCAATGTAAGTGCACAATGAAACTATCTATGGGACTTTGGTTAATGTCAATTGCGTAGGTGCTGATGTTTTGAGGTTATATTTACAAGGCTTTGGCTGCAGGAAAGAAATTTTACAACAACATGATCTGATAATTGTTTGGAGAGACATCCTCTAATGGGTTTTCAAATGTATATTTGTATTCTTAAGCAGATCGCTAATAATGCACTATAGTGTATTCTGTAAATTTTCTATCTGTTTGATATCATGTAAAATTATAATTGCAAACAACACCAAGGACAATAAAAAGACAAACACTAGTTTAAAAGTTCATTGCCAAACAAACAAACATTTATAGCATGAAAACTGAAAGCCTGAAGCAAGTAAAACTGATGCAATATGGTTCATACATTCCAGTTGATACCTCATACCGCTAGGCAGTTTCAGATAACATATTTTGAGAAAAAAGATAGCATAATAATTTGTTCAAAATATGCTTAACATTGGGGACTGTCAACAAAATAAGCTAGAAAGTATACAATTGTGGAAACAAACTTTGTTTTTTGTTTGTTCTACAAATGTGTTTAATGTTAGTGACCAATGATATGCAATGTACTAAGTAAATATCTTAAGCAATATTAGATACATACCTGCCAAAAGTATCTCAGCTTTCGATCTGGTAACAGATTTGTGGTCCAAAGATTTCTCAGAGAATCTATAGAAAAATTTTGGCAAAATAGCATGCAAATCAATGGTATTTTCTAAACAGCTTACTGAAGTTTAACATAAAATAAAATAAAAACAAAAACACAAAAAATATATACAGGAAAAAAATTAATCAAACCTATAATTGTGAAAGTTAGCAAATTTTTTGGAGCTGGAAAATATCAATATTATGAGAATGATGGTGCTATAAAAATACATTTTTTGTTTTTTAAAAACGGTTTTTTAGCAGGAGAGATGGAATCTTCAAAATTAAATTATTAGCAAACTAAATACTATTTACATTCTATAAATTGTCTCTTTAAACAGAGATGCTTGCATGAAACTCTGCTCTTCCAAATTTCGTTGTTTTTCAGATGAACTGAAATCATTTCCCGATTTGGAATTGACAGAAAATTACTTCTAATCAGCTAACTACTTTTTGTGTCATTAAAAGCTGAGAATGAATAAAAAAAATTTAAAATTGAATAACAGCATTACCAATTGCCATGATTGCCTCGCGTCTACCCTTTTTCTTAGCCATAGAAATCAAGCTTTCAAGACACCTCATCTGATGAACTGGTGAGTCCTACATGGAAATGGGGTTGAGCAAAATTACAATTAGCAATGAAACATAGTATCTCCACAATTGTAAAAATGCCATAAAATGTTGGCACCATTCGTTTCAAATTTCTTAAATTAGCGTAAGCAATGACCTTAAATTTTGATAATTATCTGTTGAAAACCATGAAACAAGTTTCCTAAATCGGACAATGCTTATCTCACTTTTTATCACTCTTCTATTTATGAAACAAACTGAAAATTATGTAATATAGCTTGTTTTTACCATCAACCTTAAGGAAAAAATCCTGAAGATGACCAAAAAAGCTGAGAAAACCTTAGGCTTATTCCAGCAGAGAGCCAATTCACGAGTTTACCCCATAAAATTCATCAATATTTTATCTAGCGCCAAAGCACAATTCTTTTTATGAGAAGAACAATTGATTAAATATATCTTTAGGCTTCCTTCACCTGCAGAAGCATAGTTATGGCAGCAACCCGATCACTCAAAGTACCAGAAGACAAGACAGTTCGCAACCATTTTGCATCAGAAGACTTTTCCAAACCTTTTGCTGTGGAAAGAGAATTATTGTTTGCATCTGATCAAAATGAAGAATGAAGCTTCAATAAAAATCAAGAAATGCCACTAAAACAAAATAATCACTTTAAGAAATGAAAACATTCATTATGACGATGGTTTTTTTCATTTCATAGTCTCTAAAACTGCAATTTAAGGCTTATCTAAGATATCTAAGAAATTTGAAAATTCATGCAGTCCTTTAAAGAAAGAAAATCTTTAAAGCAATTTCTTCCCATCTGATAGAATCAAAAGTCATGTAAATATAAGATTTGGAGCTTTCAATCATTAATCAATCATTATTTTTTTATAACCTTTAATATATGTTTGCATATCATAGTACATAGCTAAATTACCTTTCCCAATTAACTTGCATTGCTTTATTCTTGCAAAAATTAGCAAAGACTTATTTTAAAAAGGTTTAAAAACAAAAAACTAAATGGAATACTGGAATGCTGATCAGAATGTAGAACAAATGAATTATTTACTCTGTTTATATCTTACTTTCTTGGTAAAGTGCAACTTCATCTTCACAAAACCGTTTTGCCAATTCATACACTTTGGTATAAGCTGCATCTTTTAACTGCTCTTCGGTTTTTATTGCTGCTACATTGGGAAGCTGAAAAGATGTTCAACATTAACTCTGACTGAACAAATAACAAGTTAGGTAAATTTTTCATCATACAGAAGAACACAGATGGCTTTAAGCTTAAAAGTATTGCTTGACTAACCTGGTCATACCACAGTTCATATGGTTGAACTTGCAACTTCTTTTGCTTTTCAAATTTAGGGATGTATGTAATCTTTTCAATTTTAAAGCTTTCTTCTTCTTTTCTCTTATCATCTGGAAATGGTGGTGTTTTTGGTACTTGAGGATCATCGCCTTTTTTGCTACTCGCCAAATCTTCTGAGCTGGAAAAAAATTTTTAAAAAATTATGCAGAGAAAATTAGTGCTTTTAGCAAATATTATAAACTTTTTTTAAAGGCAGTCTGTCTCCTTTGTGATGCTTAGGGAAATTACGCTATTGTGGTTCTTCATTCTGATTGTTTATTTGTGCATTGAGTCAAGGATGCATGAATATTGTGGCCATGAAAAAAGATTCTGAGAACAATGGGGGACATACTGCCTTCAAGGATTTCCTTGATCTATAGCCCTGCCTCAAATGAAGGCCAAATTTTAATTTTACACCAAATGTTTGACTTCAATATGTATCAGCACAGTATAAGAGCAAAACGATGACACTCTGTCTGACTTTAAATCTTGAAATAGCCAGCTTTCCACACTGAAACTAAGAAAACGTAATACTGACACATCACTTTCATTTGTGACATCATCCATTGCCATTTGATCCAAACCAAGAGATTTTACCATTTCTTGTATCTAAAATTGATAATATTGACAATATTGAATGATGATTAAAGTAACACCATTAATCTACAACAAACAATTTTAAATCACCTGTTGTTAGTAAATTATGTCACTGTATCAATTTTCATGTAAACTTGGAAGATATGATAATATTAAGTTGTTGATTTGAAATGTAATGACTTTTGCAAAAGTATGCATTTTTGACTTTTGTTGTAATTCCAAAGAACTGTTGAACATAAAGAAATATTGTATACATACCTCATTGCCTGAAAGTGGTTCATCTATCTTAATGGTTTCATTTTTAGTGTTTTCAACAACATTTTCTTTCTGGCCCATCAGCATTTCAAAGTCTTCCTATAAGATCAATGAAATTGTTAGATGTTAATTAAAAAATTCATCCAGCATAAGACCTAAGAGACAAAATTTGTATTTCTTTGCAAGTGGTCCTAATGTGACTCTTCCCACAATGGCCAATACAATCAGATAAGGACATGTTTGATAAATCTGTACAATTTGATGCTTATAAACTGAAGGAGCCTCATTTTCAGGTGCACTAAGTGGTACAATCTTCTAAATGCAATAAAAAATTTCCAGTCTGGTCTTCCATCAATTCCTTAACTTGTATTCCGGTTTATTATTGGACTAATTTGATGTTTATTAATCTATTGTGATAGAGTGACTTGTAACTAGTCCTACCAGCATAAAGGGAAGATTGATTGAAACAGTTATGAACCAGTTGTTTATGAATGTATAAACAGAGACCAAATTACAGACTGTTTCAGGTTTTAAACCATTCAAGTTAAGACATTTTACAAGTCTGAAGGAAGATGGAATGAAAAGGTCCATTCCAAAGATAATTCAATTGGTGATAAAAGAAGCACAAACAGAATAAGCAGATAGACAACTAGAAAGTGTGAAGACCAAGGCCATGAGGAATAGAATTGCGGACAGAGTTCCAATAATAACCTTTACCTCAATCTAGTTGTATGAGTTTTGCCTGTAACAGTTCATTGTCCTCTTAAGAGCTCTTGCGAAATATTAAGTCCTTCAAGCTACAAAACAGCTGGATAGTTAAATAAAAATATAAATTTTAATGTCTAGAGCTATGACTGTGGCCAGAAATTAAATTATCACCGACACTGCCCCTAAGTTTTGAAGGCTGGGATAGCCCTGCATCTATGGAAAATATTCAAACTTTTAGGAATTATATATCTTCTTGAGTTAGATATATTTTGAGGATGAAGGCACATGTGACATGTTTTATTCATCTCTAAGTTACTCATACGTTAATCGTCTCACATACTTTTGATCCGCCAAGGTCGAGAACATCTTCCAGCCTTAGAATATCGCCTTCACTATCAGTGTTTTTTTTCTTCTTTCCAGATTTGCTAGATTTTTTCTTGGCTTTTTTCACTTGTAATGCCGCCATGTTCCCAATTGCACATGGATACAGGGCTACCAACATAAATTGCTCCTTCGCATCGAGAAGGAAGCGTGCGTGACATTTTCACGGTGTCCCGGGCTGCTTTTCCCAGTAGCGTAGCAGGGTGGTAGGATTGTAAGGGGGCAAAGGCGTGATAAGCAAGGAAATATTGAAGGTCCATAGCCTTTTGAACGCCAGAATGCGCCCTTTTTCATAGATGTTTTTAGGGATTTGGGGATTGGATGCCTCCCCCTCGCTTAGCTACTGCTTCCTCCTATCATTCTAATCAATATTTTAAAAATATCTGAAGTCTGTGCCATATTTTGTATATTTGTGGACAAACTTTTGTGGATAGATGCGGAAAACATAGTTGGGCCATCTTTTACATCTAGACATCTTTAGCGTTTGATGAGTTTGATGAGTTTTTAAAGGTGTGAATATAACACCTTGAAATTTGATAGATGTTTTTAATCATTGTATGACAAAGTTGGTATGTTCACTTATTGGTAAACCAGCTCCTAAACTGGAATACACCTGAGCAAAATGAGCAAGAAAAAATCATATTCATGGGTACTTAGCCCTTTTTATCAGTAAATGATACCCTGAGTCTATAAACAAGGCCAAGCAATAAACTACATTGTAAAATTATTTCTTGGGCTATTGACCCCCCCCCCTCATTTCAACGTTCCCCTCCAAAGTTAGTGGTTGCCCATCAAGTTAGTTGGTAAATGAGTTTCCTCGTTCTCTTGTTGTGTACTAATAATTGGCACGCGTATATTCTTTCTTTAGGCAATGAGATCTAAGTCAATTCTTTCGCATCATATGTGTATACCATATTGATTACATAAGTTAGCAAGATGCTTTGATTGCATAACATGACTGCTCTCGATGATGTCCATGTCAACTACAACTAAAAAACGAAAGCAAGAAGGTGCATCTGATTTGACACCTACAGCGAGGACTGGGTACGAGCCAATCCACGTCATATATCATTTCTGCAAATGATACTTAAAAGAGCATCAAAATCAACTGTGCTGTGGAGTACACTTATGAAAAATACATAGCTATAAGATACCAAAATTAAAGAAAATCGTGAGGGATGTGCCTTTCTAGCATGTTATTTATCATAATATCAGGACAGAACAGTAAATACAGGAAGGAACCTCTTTCGAAAACACCAACATGAAGGACAATGCCTCTTGAAGTATCATGTGCATTTTAAGATAGTTAGCTGCAAAACAACGGTTGTTTGCTGTAATTGTTTCTTCAGATGCCTTATCTTATCATAAATAGAAAGTAAGGATAGGAAAGTCGTTACAAACGTCAAAGACAGCATAATGAACATGTTCAATTTAGCAGGTAAAGATGAGACAAAGTCTTTTCCTAATCTATTTAAAATTTAAGTTACATTTGGCTTCTTGCAATAGCTTCATTCGTATTTAAATACAAGATGGATTTTTAAAACAATAATTAAACACCGCCATTTTAAAAATACTGTGGAACAGACATTTCAGATTGAATCTAATTTTTTTGACATTTTCTCTGCTGTAATTAATTTTTTTAGATTGAACTTATAACTTTTGATGAAATTTAAGAAACTTTGTTTTTTAGTTTCATTGTTGTTGCTTGGTCTCGCTCAGACGGGGGCTGCGGGTAAGTCCTTCAGTGTTGAAAGTCATTTTGATAAAAAGTTCGCAAATAAAGATGATCGACGTTTTACAACAAGGAATTTATTTGTCTTCAAGGCTTTGTAAAAAACTGGGTGTGGGTGTGAGGAAAAATCACTAAATTTTTTATTCTCAATTGCATCGTTATATGATCTAATGAGCACTGATTAAAATTTCTTTTTAAATTAAACTTTTAAAGGCTTTACTGTATTATATAATTAAAAAGAATATTCTTCACTCATTTTAAGGGAGAAAATGAGGGTGGTAAATTTTTATATGACCAAAAGAAATATCTGCATGACCATCACTATAAGGGACGTAAGGGGTGTAACGCCACTCCCTAAAAATACTTTCATTGCAAAACATGGGGTTGCATATATACGACATTCCCCAAGCAAATGTGTTCAATCTTTGTGGCTTTTGTTATTCTATTGGAAAATTAAAAGGGGTGAAATTATTATTTAAAACAAAGATAGTGCCCGAGAAAGCTTTCCGCTGGAATAAGGTGTACATTATCGGTAGTTGTACATTATTGGTGTACATTATTGTATTTTACTGGACTTATTTTACAAATAAGGCGTACATTATTGTACTTTACTGAAATTTGAAAAAATTTCAACAGGGACCTGTGGTATTAAACCACAGTCTTCAAGAATTGTAGGTGGAAGCATATCTAAACCTTATGCTTGGCCATGGATGGTTCAAATTATCAACACAAGATTCTCAGCTAACCATCACTGGTGCGGAGGTGCACTTATATCTCCTGAATGGCTAGTCACTGCCACGCACTGTGTCAACTACGGAAAGCACAGTGATTTTGTCTTCACTCTCGCAGAGCATGACCGATTCTCCAATGAAGGTAGTTGGAAGTTTTCCGTGAAATAAATTTGAATCGTATTCTTAGACCGGGAGGTCATTTTTCTTGTTTCCTAACAACTATGTGCATCGATAGGCACCATCTTTTTTATCTTGCATTTGATTTTAGCTTTCTAGCTCCAATGAAGTCTAAATTGTGATTTTGTATACTCTTTAGGTCACGAGCAGGTTTTTAGAGCCAAGAAAGTAATCGAGAGACTTGATTATAACAAGCCATCTGCCATTAACAATGATATTGCATTGGTAAAGCTGGATAGACCGGCTATTTTGAGTTCAAGGGTTGGGACAGTCTGCCTGCCTGCACAAGGCTACCAGATTCCCGTTGGCTCTCGTTGCATTACAGCAGGTAATTTTGTTCCTTGTCCTCTTTTGTCTATTTTGCTACCATCACTTGGGTATATACAGCATCCATCTTTTTAAATGAACCACTCATCTTATTAACCCTTAATTTTTTGTTTTTAGACAATAATTTCTTCCCCTCTCTTGCTATTAAATTTTCTGTGAAATTCTAAAATAGCAATAGCATTTGTGCTGTATGAATAGGAACACCATAGTCAAAAAAGTCAAAAAATTATCAAAAAAATGTAAATGACGCAAGGCTGCATCCTTGCTCCAATTCTGTTGTAGGATGGGGTTTGACGTCTGGAGGTGGAAAGCAGTCACGTTACTTAAAAGAAGCCTTGATGCCTATTGCTGATAACAAAGTGTGCCAAAGACAGTATGGGAGTGTAAGCATATCGAATTTAGAAAACTATTTTGCACAAGGCTACCTTCAGCTTGCACTCAACTTGACTTCGAACAACCTCTTAATGATTTACACGTGAACGCACATCATAAAGATATTAACTGTTGCCTAGGATTTCGTAAGGAAATGTAAAATAAACGACGACTATGCTAGTATATCAAGAATCTACAATTTTGCACGATTGCTTGCTTTCATGACAATGCTCCCTAATTCCCAGAGGATTTGGTAATTTGTCATGTATACGATAGCTAAAATGCCATTTTAGCGTGCAATTTTTATAAAAATATGGATTTTTGAAATTTTTAGGAAAATTATTAATGAATAATTTGTGCTCTGCTAGAATTCCAGCAGATAATAGGATAAAATTTACAAGCCCTTAGTTTGGTTGATCTTATTTAGACATACTGTGTAACCATTGGCTTGGTTTTTCATGTGAAAACCATGCAGAAATTCATTTTCCGGTGTCAAAGCCTACAAAAACAAGCAAATTTGCCGGCAATTGAAACATATTTTGTCACTGTATAATGATGATGATTGTCTACTACAGTTGATTGCTTTCTTGCCTCCAACCTAATGTACTCCGTCGTGGCCCTCATATTAATGTACACACCAATTTATTCCCAAAGCTACCATTTTCATCTTCACAGATCCCAATAACGGAACAAATGGTCTGTGGAGGCAGTGGTGGAAACAGTGTCGAAAATAACTGTAGCTCAGACAGTGGAGGACCGTTAATGTGCCCAACTGCAGATGGTCGATGGGTGCTACAAGGTGTTGTCTCATTTGGTGACTCAAGATGCTCTGCAGGAAAATATACTGTCTATGCACGTGTCAGCAAATTCAGAAACTGGATAAAGCAACACACTGGTAGGTTTGGCTTGTTTGAATCAACCTCACCCTAGATATTAACTTTGAAAGGAAAATATTTTTTCAGTTCCACCATCCTTGCTAAAATTACTTGGAACATCTAGCAGCTCGTGTTGCGTTCTGATCCGATATTGTACAAGACATGAAAATGTACATTCTTATTTTTTTGCGTCGTTCCGTTGGATGTTGGAGAGGGCTGTGTTTGAACTTGAAAACATACATCAGTGTTCCAGGACTTTTATATTTATGGAATGGACTATCTTTGATTTTACTAAGTTTATAAAGTATTAAGATTTATCTCTAATCTGGCTCTATCTTGATCAAATGTTTTTTCTGATTTTAATCAAAATGTCCTTGATAGGCATGGTACTGAAGGTTAGTCAATTTTTCAGCTTTAGAGACTTTATATATTTGCATGTTATTCTAAACCATATTTTTTGCTTTCAGGCATATAACAGAAAGATAGCAATACCATCAATCTATTGATAAAATTCTGTCACATGAAAGTTAAGTGAATAAAAGTGCTAAACACGAATTTTGTTGTCTTTTTTGAGCCACGCTAACTGTCCTTTACTGGATATCCCAGGAACCTTTTTCTTTTCAACTGCGCAGACGGAGTTCCAATATCCTCCTTTTATCACATGTTGAAGACGTGTGTCAAATTAAGAAAGCCTGCTAATTTTTATCATCTTGATTTGAAAACAACGCACATCTGTCTTGTTGATGGTGATTTATCCCTGCGGTCCTTCGATTGAAAAACATCATCACCACAATAATGCACCTTTCTCAACAGAGTACCCAGGGGTATTTCATAATGCCTTTTGCTCTTGGTACCAGAGCTAAGAAATTGGGAAATTGGGAGAGGTGAAGAACAAATGTTCCTCTCATCTCCATTCCCCCTCCGATTTCTCAGGCCTCCCAACTCCTCTCCCACTCCAAATTTATTGGGCTCCGGTACATAGGGTAAATTTCCTTTCAGGTTTTCACAAATGCTAAAAGTAGCGCTCTGGGCCTTATTTGTTTAGGAGGTATTTATATGGGGGTTAATTAGAGAGGGAGTCTATAAAAGTGATCCTCAAGTTTCCACAATAAGGCTTGTTTTGTAGATATTTCAAATTTTCAGGCTCATTTTATTTGCAACTCTACGTTGTGACAATCTTTAAAATATCAAACCAAGGTATAATTCAAAGCACAAAACGATATTCTAGTCGAAGAAATTTGTACGATCATTGTCTTCGGTGGTGTTATCGTTGGACTGGGGGCTTGCTCAAATGAGTGGTAGCATATCAACCAGTTTTCTTTCGGGGTAGGGCTTATACGAGGGGGTAAAATCGAGGAAATACTGTATTTGGTCAAAACTCAAAAATTATAAAACAGGATTGTTATGACGTCACCACTCTGTAAAATTAACAACACGACACTGTGTAGGAGAAGTATCGCTACAGTCGGATCGGACGTGAAACAACAACTTATGCACAATACAACGAAGGTGAGCGTAGTTCATGAATTTCCATTTTAGCTTTCAACTTCACGATTTCTATATGTGTTTAACTTGTGTATCAAAGCGGTTTCTATGTTTCCACTCTACTTTGAAAGAAAGAAGCACTGTATGTATTTGTTTCAACGATGGCCTAGCGCTAGCTCACTTGTTGACTGTTATTCATCACCTAAAAAGAAGTATCGAATTTCACTTTGCTGAAATATGTCGTAAATTCCAATTTAAGCGACCTTTATATTAACTACACACTTTTTATGATCTTGTTGACAAAACATAGCAAATCAAAACCAGTATCTGCATCTCTAATGCCAAAAAGACATTTATAAATATACAGATAGGTACATTCAAGAAGTATTAGGACACTTTGACAACATAATTCTGTCGTTGCAATTGGTAAGGTTTGTCAACGGAAAGTTGAACAGATATTTTAGAAAGTTTTGAAAAAGCTAAATAGCTCAGCAATGCATCTGACACAGTTCAGTCAATTTGTGTTACAGAATGTCACATTCTTGTTGTAGAGTATCATTACCAAAATTATCTAGAGCTTTCCATGTCATCACCCAAAACTTTTCCGAATCCTCCTTTCCTCCTTTGAGCAATGGAAATGGATCTTTCTCTAAGCACTGCATCTGCCAAGGCCAACCTCTTTGTTTTAACCTTGGCCTCCAATTCAAATCTTGATTATCAAGAATTACAACCTTGTCATTATCCCCCTTCTACAGTAGTTAAGTTGTCCACCAACAAAGTTTGCAAATCACTTCTCCAACTAGGCACTTCTAAATTGACAGGACCTGATCGGCTCTGGTTGGGGACAAAACAAAAACTTTAGGCCACACAATTTTTAATATCCGAAAACCCTATTTACTAACAAGGAACAGCAATTTTGCCAATAAGGAAAGCCCATTACCAGCCTCAAGTTACGTGGAGGCAGTTCAAAATCTAAGGATTATATCAAAGAATATGAAAAAGCAAAATATTACCCCTCCCTTAACCTTTTCCCATCAAATTTAGATGAAAAACAAAATTGAAACCGGAAGCTATGAATTTCACGCCCTGATGAAAAATTTTATTTTGAGGCACACAATCATCAGCCACGCACCTACTACAATCTTTACAGAGAGGCCTGGTGACCCCTAGCACTGGCATTAATATTTGGTTGTTTGAGAAAACAGAGAAAATATCATGCCTTTACATCTTTTTCTTAAGATCACCTAAAAGACAGAACAAAACATAGTGTAATTCAATTCCAATTATTTTAAGTTAAACATGATATCAGAGACTCAACCGACAAAATTTCCACCCTTCCTCACAGAAGTGTATTAACAGTGTTTTTGTAAAGTCCATAATGGAAGGAATTTTTAGAAAATGTTTGAGAAGAGTTTCAAGTTAAAGTTTCATGTTTATCTTGTCTTGGGCTGAAAAACATGACAAGAAGCAGACAATTGTGGAGTTTAGAGCAGGCCATGCTGGGAATAAAATGGTAGGGGTGCAATGAATTATACTTCTTGTGGTGCCAAGGGGTGCAATGGTGTGCTATTGCACCAAAGTACTTAATAGTACAGTCAGTTGATATAGACTAGACTACATAACTTTATCATAAGAAAACATTTGGCCATATTTTATTAGTAAAAGTTTATAAAGAGTTTTGTATTTGCATACATAGAAAAAAAGCACATAAAGTAAACTGTATATAGAGGAATTGTGAGTCCTGATAAAACGGGATTTTACTGATCACACTTGCAAGGTACATTCGTAAACGGAGTGTAATCTGGGGCAAATCACTTAAAGCTTAAAAATCAATAAGCCTGTTTGAATAAACACAGCCCTACATGTGCCATGTGATTGTAACTAGTTATTGCAAATGAGACATGCAACCACAACAGCAAAGCAACGACCGAAAAAAAATTATGGAAACCTTCATTTACAGGGGTGTTTTGCCATTTTTAAAACTTCTGTTAGTTTTAAACATGGTATCATTGTGTGACTTGAAAGTCCAGCCACTAGAATATGAAGAAATCGAAAAATGGATGTTATCATCCAGAAAACGTTTACTGTAACCGTAAGCAAATTAGAATATTTGCCAAATTCCCTGTTAAATAGAAATCAAATAGAAACGATTGTCTGATTAGCAACATTTGTTGATAGTTGAATTATGATAAAAAAATAACATTGAGCAATATTGGTCACTTTAGAATAAAGTGTTCAGATTATTTAAGCTGTGCAATAAACTGCACTGTTGAACAATGGAAGGCGTGTGCCAAGGCGTGGGCGTGTGATCACACGCCATTCCCAGCATGGCCTTGTTTAGAGCATAGAGAATGTTGGAGATTAGTGAATGGGAATCTAATCCAAGTGAGGATGAATTTTATGATTACAAAAACACAGTTGTCTGATAATCACATAATTCATTCTGTTTGATTATGTCTGTTGTCTGTTGTCTGTTGTCTGTTGTCTGTCTGTTGTCTGTTAATCACATTAAGTATGAAACTTGGATTAGCAACTTGGGAAAATTCTGTTCTCTCTGCAAAACCTGTTCTGAACTTTATGACAAACAGTAGTTTTAATAACTACTAAGGACAGATTAACCATGGCTTCAATGTATAAAATCAAGCAAATGTATATTTATTGCATTTCAGAAACATGCTTCTTTTTTATCTATGGCAGGGGAAACCATATTTTCTGTGGATGCAGGATGCCTCAGTTTCATTTTGCCACCAGCGTCAATTTAAAATTTTCTGTGCTAGTATCCCAGATTTCCAGTTGTCATTTGCACATCATCCAAATCCCAAATTTGTTTGCCGGTTTAAAGTATCAATGTTTTTTTATTTCAGACCCAACCATGAAGTTGTTAGCTCTGTTTTTTGTGGTTATGGTGAGTTTTGTTACCATGTGGTACAGAAACATTTTTTGATAAGATTATCTATTATTGTTAGTTTGAGAAAAATTTGAGTGGTTGAGAATCTAACGCACCCCCAAATGCTTGCAAAATGCACAAAAATGGGTGAACATCTGGCTAAGCTGTTTTCAGATGGCATCAGCAAAGCAAACAATTTCAGGCCACACCCATTTTTCTATCAAAAAACGTCTTCTTACCAACCAAAAATGCCAATTTACAGATGAGGGATGCCCATGACTAACTTTTGGTGAGGTTAAGATAGTTTCAAATTATGGAATTACATTACAAAGAAGACATTCCCAAATATTTTCTGTAGTGTGTGTATGTGCATAATCTGGTAGAATGTGATCAGCGATGGCTAATATTTATTTTGATAATTGTTCTTTAAGGTTGCAAATTGTGAAGGTTCTGCTGGTCCTGAGAAAGAGCAGAAGAGTATGTTAAGAATTTTTTTATAAGAGCCTAAAGTTTTTCTTAATTGCCAAGAGTGTATTCACAAAAAAAAGCATCATTTTACTCCTCTGCAACCTAGAGATGTTTCTTTGTAGGCTCAGGGCTTTCAATGGGGAGCACGCGCCAGAGGCTACCTTTGAGAGCGATTATCATGTGCCCTGTGATAAAATTTTCCCTTGAAAAGCATGATTTCCATGTGCCGATAGGTCAATCTACTTGAGAAACTCTTTTAAGAAAAACGGAAATTTGACATCAAATCCTTGTTTCCACTACTATGTTTTTGCTTGTCTCCATTTTCCGATCATTCAGTTTTCGTTATTTACGAGCCGTTCCCATTGCTTCGGCCAAAACAAAAATGAAGGTTTTTCCATTACTCTGTTTTGTCTGTTTTCATATCCTTTGTTCGATGTCGTTTTGAAACTGAAGATGAACAAATTCATTTTTTAATTGATCCTTTTTCGATTTTCTCATTAAAACAATTCAATTTTAATGTGACACCGTTCTCCAATGACTTTGTTTTCACTGTTCCCATTAAAATGATTCGTTTTCAAACATCATTAGACAGGCACTTTGAACATCATTATCAAATGTCTCTAATTTTGAGCATTTGAATGGGAACCGAAATAAAAAATGATTCATTCAGTTCCTTTTCCTACAAAAGCGGAGTAATAGGAACAGGGCCTGATTTTCAATGGACTTAAACAGTATTAATTGCCCCTTTGCCATTTGTTAGTCAAACAGTGGTTTTTTAATTTTATTTGCTAAAGCTATTTTAGTCTATTTTTTTCTATAACTTTGCTGATTAGAATTGAAACTTTGTTACGTTTCTAAAGTCACTGATACCTCTCTATGTCGCACAGTACCTTTCATGATAACTCGTGAGGGAAACAGGAACATAACTGTACCATGTGTTGTACTCAGTTCATTTTGAAAGTTTTGTCACATTTAATGTTTCAATAGAAAAAACTTTATTGTTCTATGTTAACAAAAACATTTGATTCGCCCACCCTACTCTTGTCACTCATGTTTTTGGGCGTGTGCGTTGATTTCTGAACATGAAAGCCCTGTAGACTCAAAGCAGTATACCTAAAATCTTAAAATTAGCATCCTTCTGTGAATAAGTGTCCCCTTAAACAGTCAAACATTTGAATGCCCTTCTGCTGCCTTAGATTAGCAACCCTAATCTCCAAATCTAAAAAATCTAGTCAAACTTGACAACTAATTTTTTCTGATTTCATGGTGAATGGTGGTAGTCATTTCTGACATATTTTCTCTTGGGTGCAGGCTCTTTTTTGACTATTGCATATACTTATTTCTAGTCATATGGCCATGTGCTGAAGGAAACCCTTGTGATGCTGCTTATTGTGCCAGGTATCCAAATGTGGAATGTCGTCCAGGTGCTGATAACCCATGCAAAGCTGAGTTTATCTATGAGTTGAGAGGAGAGATCAAAGTGATAAAGAACTGCAAAAATGGTACATTTTTATGTTTTTATGTTTTTTTATGAAGTGGTTGAGCCAATGATTTTTTTGAGTGATAATGTTGTTTCTTTATTTTATATATAAGTTATAATAAAGCTTGAAAGAAACCAAATGAAATGCAATTTTCTGCTAAATGGGTATTATTAATCCTCAAATTTCTTTGATTTCTGATCTTCTTGTATTCACATTATCTTCCAGGTTGGAGGCTTATTCTTTTTCTAATGTTCTTTTGGTAACAGAATTATCAAGGATAAAGAAACAGCACATTCTTCATCATTCAAACAATTTTGACTTTCTGTGTCTGTTTTTTTACTAGCCAAGCCATGCTCAGAAGCCTGCCCTCGAATTTACCTCCCATTGTGTGGAAATGATGGCAAAACATATGGCAATGAATGTGAGCTCAATGTTGCAAAGTGCAAGAGTAAGGGGGAAATAAGACTCAAGAAGGAAGGAGAATGTGGTAAGCACATGATTATAAATTTCATTTTAAATACCTCTTTAGTATTAAAGCTGAAAAGAACAAAGTTTTGGCACTTATGTTAAGTTTAAAGCTATAAGACATATATCAAGGGTACTATATATGGCTGTCAAATAGGCCCAGACCTTAGGTAGTTCCATTTTTCTGTGATTCAGTATTGCAAATGGCTGTTCAGATTCTTTAAAATTGTTTTCTTTTTCTATTCTCACTACTTTCCTTTGTCATTGTTGTTTAGTATGTTTTCTTCACGTCTTTATTACGTTTTATAATTAGCTTTTCAGTATCTTTTGAATTTTAATTTTTTTCATTTTTAGGTGAATGATTCTGCAGAGTGGTTCAACATGTCTGATACAGAGTGGAGCAGACTGAAAACTTGTCCTAAAGGCTTTAGGCTTTGACACAGTTTCATTAAATAACTTTTTAATTCCCACTTCTGAACCAATTTTATTAATATATGTACTTTATAGGAAAGAGTTATATTTTATAATAAAACTTTGATGAAATTAACGTTATTTCTCATCACAAACTGCAAAAAAATTGTTCTGCATTTTGTTTCAGCATTGGAACATGTTTTCATGATTACATAATACTTTATTTAAATATTAGAATTTAATTTTTTTGATAAACCGCAAAACATTTAAAGTTTGCAAAATTTTTAGTTGCATATCTAATGTGTGTCATTGTAAATCTCCCTCCCCTCAGTACCAACAATTTCCTGTTCATGCTAGGACAAAGGTTGCGCTATAAATAATTGTTTGATGCGAGAAGTCTTAATCCAGACGTTCATCGTTTCGTTGTTTTTCGCCAATCTATTTTCCCTCTAACTTCTCACTCTAACTTTTCCCTCTAACTCGTTGTTGAAATATTCATCCAAGAGAGAGAAGAAACTCACTCTTTACAAGTCCTTCAAGTCCCAGTGACATCGCTTTCTCTAGACAATAGATGATAGTATCTTTTTTGGGCGAAGTTTAAACAAGAGCACACCCCCTTGATGTAAAGAGATATTGGGGTTTAAGGTTCTGGATAATTGGCCAGATGGTGACTTGTAATACAATCAATGTGCATAAATGGGAGGGAATATCAATTTCTGACACATTGAAACTCAAGCCTGAATATCTATAAATCCTGCTAATTCGGCGTTTATTGCTGAAAAACTGTTGTAGGCCTTTCATACGTTGCATTTTACGATCAACCCTCTAACAGCAGGCACCTTTGCACCCCATTCCAGAATTTTTTCTAGGCATCAGTTTTCATTCCGGTTCATTAATTAAAGCAAGAAACGTTTCTCAAAAATTTGATAGTCGACAATGTAATTTTTAATTTGCTGGCATCCTCTAGACGCGCCAAATAGACGATTTTGTCTTTAATGCGATTTCCTGGAATTTTATTAAAAGCTATATTTAAACCATGGCTTTTCGTATATCGCTAGCATGTAGCTTTTCTGAAGCTGCAGCGAGATTGACAGGTTTTCGAGAACTTCTATAGTAAAGTCTCACTGTAGAGAACATCTAGAGTGAGGACGAAAACGTACTCTATACACATAACACAAAATTCCGCTGCAAAACTAGAAACGGTTGTTGACTGACGGGATATTACAGTAACAAAACTGACAGAAAATCTTAAAAAATGTCTTAAAACCATTCCTCTATAGCTTTTTTGTTTTTTCAAATATTTTGGAAAATAGTTTTATCTCTTCTGAAAATCATTCCGATAAAATACGCGGCACAACGCTTTTAAGATCATTTGTGCCAAGTCTTTTCAAAGGGATGGTTGAAGTGAGTCTCTACTGAGCTGGCCTTAGCCTTACAGCTGTACTTTCTGATTAAAACAGATAGTGGAAGCATCGGTTTAAGCACTTCATAGGTTATAACTGGGGTTTAAGCACTTCTCCTTCTACTCCGACATCAGGCGCGCAACTACGGGGGGGGGGGGTCCTGGGGGTCCAGACCCCTGCCCTTTTTCTCAAAAGGGGAAAAGTGCCCTTTTTCTTGGAAAATTGCTTGAATATTTTGATTATTACGCTAAAATGGTTGGTCATACAGTAAATGACACACTCCGGAGATGTAATGGACCTCGCAGGAATACAGATAAATTATTTAGTCAATTTTTCACGTACTTGTTGGGTCGAACGTCATCATGTTGCAGTAATAGAGTATATCTTCAAGCCCCAACTCTACAGCGTGTTTTATGATGCGTCACGCACTGGCTTTGAAGAAGAATGGTTCTGGGACTCAAAAACCAAAATAAAGGCACAAGATTTTGAACGGGATAGAGCCTCTACGACCTCTGGTAAGAGGTAAGAGCTTGTTGGGTCGACCAAGACATTTTTCAAGCCTGTCACATAGTTGACAGGGTCATAGAAGACCTTTGCATGAAACGAGCGAATGCAGAGAAATATTCGCGGACTGGTATTAGAAAGCAGTAAAGATGGCACAAAAAGTTGATGTTCAGCTGTTCCGTTCCTTGTCAGTATTACAAATCAGCTGAAAGCAAGACTTGGAGACAGAAACCAGCTGAAGGCAAGGCTCGTGGAACTGTTCAACCTACTCCCACTGTAGTGCGAAGCAAAGAATTCAATAATAATATTTCAAAGAGCAAAATGTCTTCGGATATGGAAGATGATGGGCTGCTATTCAAAAGTGAGCTGGCGCTGGGAAAAGGAGATGACAGCAGGGTCGCCGAGAGGGGGACAAAGGGGCAAACTGCCCTAGGGCCTCGAGGTCTAGGGAGCCTCACAAAGCAATGAATTCCGTTTTTAAATGGAATTTATTAAAAGTAACAAAATTACAATTAAAAAGTAAAACATCTTAAACGAATTAGTGAATTTAAGCTATTTGCAAGGGTGTGGTGGCAAAATTTTTGCTCGCTTCGCTCGCAAGAGGCATTGTTTTTTCCATTTCCCCTCTCCCTCGGGCCTCCTAAACTTCTCGGCGGCACTGTACGGCAGACAGAAAGAAGTCATATGCATAGTTAAAATTAAAAGGAAAAAATAAATCACACCTCACCACAAAATAAACCGTACACCACAACTTTTCTCTATTAATCAGTTTCCCTTGTCTGGCGTACAATATTTACAGATTTACTAACTGCTCATATTTTCGCCGTACCTAAACAAATGCCCCGGTGGACCTTTAATGAAATTTAATTAGTGCCCTTTTTGTGTCTTGGACCCCTGCCCTCTGAAATTTCTGGTTGCGCGCCTGGACATTTAACGAATCAAATGTTTCAAGGCTACGTGATGTTTTCCATCTCAAATTGCTTACATTTGTGTATGAATGTACAGATAAGATCCTTCCTCTTTATTTTCCCTCTTTCTTTGATTTATCTAGATCTGTTCCTCAATATGGTACTCGGTATGCTACCAAAAATGATGTTTTCCTAACTCTGAAAAGTGCTCTGCAAGATGGTATTTAGTCAGTACATTGTAGTGTTTCAAAAATGTGGAATGCTATTTCACGTAAATAAAGAAATCTGAATCAGATTTCATCTGATCGCTTGTTAGTTTTCGTAAAAAGCAGATATCATACTTTTTCGATCAGAAATATAAATATTGATTTTACTTTTATTTTAAGCTGGAACCAGGCATTGAAAGTAACGAAAATTAGATATTTAAACATTCTCACTTAGTGGAAATTTCTTTGAGAAAAGAGGTTGCATGTGAAAAAATTATTCCTGGAGAAAAAGAGCATGGTTGAAAAATTTCTTCGGATTTGGCTTCCAGCCCCCCGTTCCTGTTTTCCCCTACTTAAGGAAAGAAAAGGCTTTTGAGGTGTTTTGAAATTAAATTTTTCTTGTTGAATGCGAGATCTTTTCTTGCGAAAAGGAAAGTTAAGGCTTTCGACATACTGATTTTTGAAATTCAAATTGACAAACAATAGCGGAATATACAGCAGATATATAGGAAAATTTCTACTATCAACATGATGTTTCTAAATCTTTGGCTTTGGTGGTAATACTAAAAACTAGCTCTATGAAAGACAAATCCCCTCAACTGGGCTATACTTCTTTTTAAAAGAGAAGGCATTCACATTTATTTGAATTGCTCAAGTAGCAGTAAGCACATTCATAACGTGTCAAGCAATGATTTTTTATCTCATTTGGTTGGTGACTATGAAGGACTTCAGTGGTTCTAACACAATTGAACTATTTGTGCATATTGTAAACCATTATTTTCTGATTTCTGTTTTTCTTTTTTAAGTTTTTATCTCTTATTCTTAATGTTATTATTCAAACAAAGCTTATATTAAATTATCGTCATTTTGCGTCAAATGGGACACATGGCTCTGATAGCTTCTTCATGAGTCATTTCCATGTGTCCATCAACTCATCTTATATAATTCTTATGTTGTTCCTTGTAATGTAATCTTTATTGTTATTAATGATTGTATCTTAACAACTAACATGACGTCTCTTGTAATTAATTGATTTGTTGCTGAAAAAAAGTTTTGATTTGATTTGATTTGATTGTTGTCTGGTAGTGTTTGTTCTTGTTCCCCTGTTTCTTTATACGCCGAAACGAAACTGAACGAAGAAAACGAGGCTAGATTTGTTTACAGCTTCCCATAGAAACTCACTGCAAATAAACATCCAGCCTCCCTACCTTCTGCCACCAAAGTTCATCTGAGGAGAAGATCCGTTTCGTGTATGTTATGTAAACATCAAAGCAGAAAAGGTTTCAAGTCCAGAAAGTTGAGTAAAATGACAGCCATAAGTTCATATTCGCTGGAGTTAGATCCAGAGCCGAAACATGTATTCGTTACCCAAATCAGGTGAGGTCAAACTCATTCTACGAAATACGTAATAGCTGAATTCACTTAGTGAAACGTGGCAAGAAATGTAGCAGTTTGTTAGAAAGATGGCCTAAACAGACAATTTTTCGTCATCAAGCATAACTTTAAACCTTATGCATGTTTATTTTTCACATAAAGATCAGTTTATTATGGTCTTATATAGCACATTCTAAATGACCGTTGCAAAATTCTATTTCACTATTAAAATTTGTTTGCAATGCTTAAAATAATAGATCAACTCTGCTTGTCGAAGCCTTCTTCATTTATATTATTTAATAATTCCGTAGTCATCAAAAAAGACCTGAAAATAACAAAATATCTGATTTTCTTTTTCAAGACCTGCGACGTATTTTCAAGGTGCCTAGTCTAAGTAACTTTGATCAGCAACAAGTAAGAACAAAACTTTATCAAAAGAAAATTGGGTTCTTGCGTCCATATTAATAAATTAATAAAGATAGTGAAACTGGCAAAATGTCTTGCACTATCTGTTTTTTTATGAGCAGGGAAGAAGATGAAGAGGTTATCCCAAGTGAAGTTAAACAAGTTCCTGTTGTAACAGAGGTATGTAAAGAAAGATTTGACCAGAAACGTATAAGAAATTTAAAAAATATGTGTGCAAATTGCCATTCTACCCCTATTTCTGAAAATTTGAAGGGTGAATACGTCACCGGTGCCCCCTTGCCTCTATACCTATGACTAGATTTTTATGCTAAGAGCCCCTGAGAGAAATTGTTCATCTGTGGCCTTGCCCCTAGATCTATTACAATTAGACTATCAGAGTTGTCAGCAGAGTTCTTGACTAAGAAATTTTAAACAACCAGTAGGGAGACAACATCTTTAGAAATAATAATTATTTATCAAGCACTAGTATATTACTGCATTACAAAAGATACTTTTTATTTTTATTTCAGTTGAGTAATTTTACAGAATCATCTTCAACTGGCCTTGAGAAAATTTATATTGCATGACAGTATAAGGAAATCAAAGATACATTTTTCTTACAAATTTTTTCTGACAATGTTTTGATATTGCAAGCTAAAATCAAGCAAGATTATTTAATTTATGTTAGCCATATCCTATGAGTTTAGTTTTTACTTAATATAGGTATGATTATAAGAATGTAACAAAGCTGTCTTAATACCTTTCTACAGAAAAAAGGAAAATTTCTAGAAAATGGAAGAAATACATTGCAGAAAACACTATTATTGAAGAGAGAAGTAGAAGTAGACAAGGTTCAATATGAGTTGGATAGTAAAAAGAAAGATTTTGATAAACGGATGGAAGAATGTAGATTGAAGAAAGAAGATTTGAAAATAAAACAGAAAATCGTGAGTATGACTTGTAAAAGAGACTGATGAAAAGAATAAAATTTTTAAGGAGGAATATGATTTACCTTGTATCTAAACTTTTCTAGCATCTTTCCTGCAATGGTGGTTTTGTTAGTATTTTTACTCTTGTCCTTCAACTGGATAGACATCTATAGGGTTGAAAGTATCTTTCCATACATGTTCAATTGTTTGTTTTGCAGGTTATGGCGAGGGTTGTCAATGGCTTATGTTAATCATTTTGCCAGGACCCCTCAAGGTCAATTTTCTAGCCAGAATTTGTATTTTTGGGAACACAATATGCTTTCATTTTTTGTAGATTATTTGAATTAAACACATATGAAAATATGTACCTTTGATGTGAAGAGCTCATGTTTTAAAACTGTATCTGTTACTAGTCTTCCTTATCTTATTAGAAGTAATTTAAATTTAATAAGCACATAAGTAAATTAGTAATTACATGAAAATAAAAACAGTTTTTTGAAAAATTGGTAACAAAAATGTTCTTGTCTAGATCCAAGAACGGATAGCAAAATTTGATAAATTTGTGAAGGAAAATGAAGCTAAAAGGAAAAGAGCTATCTTGAAGTATCAACAGGAAGTTAAAGTTAAAGAAAATAAAGCAAAGGAGTTGGAAAAATTGCACACTGAGCTTTCTTTATTGCTGGTCAGGTATACACCACATTATCCTTCTACTCATTTTCTGCAAATCTGCTGTCAATAATGCAGAGTAACAGAAGATCATACATTTTTTAATGAGCCATAAATCCAAGTCACTATGTTTCAGGCTTATTTGTGATAGATATTTTGTTGTTGCATTTGTAACTATGCTTGAATAACATGCTCCTGTCCTAATCTTGTCAACTGACATAAGATAATAATGGTATTAGATTTGATATTTGGATTTTCTCAAAAGTTGATATTTATGAAATTTATTATTTGTATTTCTTCAAATGAATTTGAGCAACTGAACACCTATGAAGATAACTTCTATAAAACATTAATTTACTTATAAAACAAATCTTTTCATCATTGAACTAAAAAAGTAATGGGGAAGGTAGAGGAGATGCCATTAGTTGTTTAATTGATTTAGGATGAGTGAAGCATTTTCAGTGTATGAATATGAAGTCCCAATAGGATCTAGCATTCTATTATATTGTAACATTTCCATGTCTCTGCTGTCAGCTTTTAGACAAAAGTTAAATAATCTCAAAAACCCATACCAGCAGAGAAGAAATTATGCCTACTCAAAATTTTGTTTGGTGCCAATATATGACTTAAATAAGAACTTTTTTTGGAGCCTAATCAATACATTGCCTATTTTTGTCATCTTTCATTTTCAAGAAATCTAATTTTATCGATAGTTCGTTATGGTGACTTCTGCATACCATATAAATATGTAGTTTGTTTATTCAACTTTTTACATTGTCACTACATAGTGTAATTTTGATCCTTCTTGCTTTGCTATCATGCATTCTAAAGTAATACAGAAGGGTGAATCTTGCAATGAGTGATCTGATAATATGTAATAGTCAGGAACAGAGCAAAGCTACAATAAGAATCCAATACATTTTAAAATAGAATTTAAAAAATATTATATGTAAAGCCAATATTTTCCCCAGCATATAAGGCTTCACCAATGTAAATGTCAATAATGTTGGCTCCCACTTGAAATTAATTGCGATGACTGGCTTGTGATGCATGCAAATATATGTACCCAAATGGGACTCAATATAAAACATCTTGAACGAACCACCTTAATTTTTTTGCAAAATTCAGAAAAGGTAGCACCAAACAGTTGCAAGATAAGGTCTGAATGAATCAAATCATTTATGTATTGTTTTTTGTTGTAAATGAGAGATTGATATCAGCTTTTCCCAAAAAGATTTTTTGAGTCCATTCTTTGACAGAAGTGTATGGAGAACTCCTTGAAACATTTCCTATAAAGAATAAAGCCTAAAGAGTATCCTGCCCCTTAAAAATATCCCAAAATATTCCTTGTCCCATAATATTTGCAGCTATCGAAACACAATCTTTCCAAAACAGCTCTCTAGAAAACAAAGTGAGCTTTTCTTGCCCATTTTGTTTGCTTTAAATGCCCCATCTAACAGAATTTACCTCACTCTAATACCATGTCCAAGAATTTAAATGCCTGCTGTAATACCATTTCCCATAATTTTTATCGGAAACATATTCCCTGCCCTGAGGAACATATCATCATGTCAAGTACTGGAGTTACCTTGGCTCTGTTCGACTACCTTTATCCCCAAGTCATGTATGAATTGGTGGAAACTGATATGATATTTAGAAGGTAAACCTTTATGTCTAGGCTCTAAGAAACATTTTGCATTCTAGGCAACAAAGGATGCGTGAAAAACTTGATTTATACTACAAGTTCGAGAAATATTTGACCCTTGTGCTTGACACCATGCCAGAAGGTATTTATCTGTGAAGTACAGGTCTTCACTTTTCTACTGTGTATATAGTAATGATTCATTATTTATCATATGTTGATTCGTTATATAATCGTATGATTCTCTATATATCATCTCCAGGCGTGATGGTTCATTATATTAGGATCTAGCCTGTAGACTCCAGCTGCTATTTTTGCATCTGTAAAAATGAGTTTATGCTCATAGATATGGTTTGATATTTAACAAACCAACCAAATTGTCTTAACATTGGCCCCCTTCCCAAAATTTCAACATTGATATCACGTAAATAGAAATGAGTAGCTCCAAACATTGAATAGGACTCTAAAGCTCTAATGATACGTCTTTTATGACTGGCCCAAGGCCTACGTAATACTAAAACAGCTCTAAGAGTGAAGTAAAAAGTCGGCAGTTAGACAATAATGTTTTTTCTAAGGCTTCGGATTAGTTTCTCTACTTATTTTTAGACGGCATCTTGCCAAAAATCGTCCCAAAAATCTATAGAAAGTTCAACCTTTTATTTCTATTGTTAAAAGAAACAGTAATTTTCATTACTTTTTCATTAATGTATAATTGTAAATAGTTAAAAATGTATTATGATTCTTTTATATTCCAAGACTTTAATTTCATCCTGGTATTAAGTTTTCTTTGGAGGACCCCTTGAAAACAGCTGCTGCTAAGGGGCATCAGCGTCATTATCAGGTACCATCTTCTATAAAAAGGTTGGCTTCTTTGGCACGCCAGCTATACCTATATGCATACATTTTCGTTGCTGTCCCAATGCTTTTCCAGCTGCTCCACTCTTTCACATCTCCCCCATTTCACATTTCACATCATCTTTACTGTCGTTTTCTGTCATGTTTTCCTTTCAATATACCTTCAAGAACATCCCTTTTTCGATCATATCGTCAAGAATAACCAACCATCAAAGGCAGCGGCGGTTTTAGGGACTCCGGGGTGCGGGACCAAAATAACTGTGGGCCCTTGTTCTTAATTTTCATTTTTTTAGTTGCGGGGCGTCTTCTGGTTATCATGAGCACGGGGCCTTGGGACGTGGCCCTCTTGGACCCCCCAAAACCACCACTGGCTTAAGGGCAACTCTCCTAGAAAGAATGATGTATGAAAATCAGTCGCCATGTCAATTACCTCAATAGCCATATCTAGGATTGTAGGTAATGTGTTTGAGTTGTTTATAAACTAGAATCAACTAATACTGTTTTCTTTTAGGCTATCTTGAAGCAACAGACAATATGTTAACTGGCTTGATTATGAGGTTCCGTACCCTTAGTTCAACAAATAGTAGCTTGGTTGATAGGCTCAGCAAGTGCAGTGAAGAGGTATATATCATTACTTGCTTAAAGAGATATGCGGAAATGGAGATCCAATGAAATAGTATAATAAAAAATACTTTCCTTTCTTGTTCCTCATTAAAATCCAAATCTATATCACCCGACAGTTGCTTTCAAATTAAATGGGATAATTCCATATTGGCACCAGGTAATTTTACCAAATGCTGCTTATAAATCTTGTTCGATCCAAAATTTTTGCTTCTTAGCCCAATTGTTGTCTCTCTTATGTTTATGATTAAATATACTTTGGACATCTTCTTTTATCCCGTTTAAATTTAGAGGATTTTCCCTTTCTATGATGTACAGAAAATCCTACTTAGCCGCAAATTTGGGCCACAAATCCATTCATTTTATATATTGATTTATTGTGCGGCAAAACTCTTGGCTAGATTAACAATCGCGACTGATATATAATTTAAAAGCAAGATAGTTATCATAATAATGGTGAAAAATAAATCTCCATAAGCGACGCAAGTGACGACCATCCTCATTTTTCAAGACAAATCTCGTCTTTTAGAAATATAGCGTCCAATTCATTAAGGTTGCGATGACAGAAAATCCTTTGAATAGACTTTAATAAACATTGCCTTTAAAACGTATTTATTGGGTCTGATTTACTGTTATGAACGCTCGCCCAGTCAAAAGTGCCGCGATATTAATGTGCAAGACCCTGCTTTAAATTCATTAATAATAAAATTGTTTTTTTACTGTTAACCGTTATGGGTCTTATTGAAAAGACCACTGTTATTCTGAAAGTATTTTATCCCTTGGCCTATCTGAGTTAAGAAAGACTGTCAGCTGCTCTTTGAGTACTCCCCTGTAAATGAGAAGCCTACATTTGATATTCACACTGAATCATTCACACTGTGTTGTAACATGCCTGGTACAATTAACATATCTTGTTTTCTTAATATCCAAAATTATGTTGCTCTTTATTAGTCTTTGTTTTTTCTTTAAAAGCAAGGTTGCATTTACTTTTTAATGTTCTTAAAAGGTTGAGCATGGTCAGAGAAAAGTACAGGATCTAAATGAGAATCACATGCAAGATCTGTTGGTATGTAGCTGTCAGACTACGGCCATTCGTATTTAACGTATTCTACTATTTGATCCTATTTTGAAGAAAATTAGATGTGGGCCTAAACACCCAAACATAAAATAGCTTGAAGCACAGTATGACGAAAGTCTAACTGGTTCTTCTATCTTTTAACTCTGAATTCCTATGTGCATTCAAATTTTCAATGGCAGCAGCAGGATGATTATTAAGGTAAACCATTTCTAGCTGTTTGGATAGCAAATGTATTTGAGAAGTATACGCCCATAGATTTCATAGCAAAGTAGCTAATACTCAAGCCTATCTAAAAGGTTTGCTAATGTTTGCTAATTCTGGATATCTCTGTTTGACAGGCTGGATCTTCAATAGCTGTTAATGAAATTTATTGTTTACCGGTCTGTCATAAAGTGCTCGATGGGCAGAGCTATATACAGTTTTAGTGTATAGAACAGGACGGTTGATGCGATTGTCAGGCAAACTTTGATATGGATTACATTGGAAAAATTTTGTATAAGACATTGTGACATAGTACTGCATTCACATGCACAGCTTGTACATTCATTTCATTCGATTCTTGCTTGTATCAGAAGGGGTATACTCATCAAGCCCTATTGTAGTTGCTTGACTGAAAACATAAGGAGTGAGAGAAACAAAATTCTACTGGTTTGGTTTAATTGATTTATCCGTTTTTAGGTGTTTAATAGTGAGTTAGCTTCTACACAAAAGGATCTGGAAGTTCTACGAGAGAAAAACTTGAAGCTTGAGCAAGTTTATAACAGTCAAAAACTGAACTTCAGGCACCAGGTATCCCTCAATGTTCATATCTACTCTAAATATTTACCTTCAAGATAAAGATAAATCGAATAAACTGATGAGAGATTCTTTTCCATTCCTGTAAGTCCTCTAGGAGGAGGGTGGGGTCGTGTAATTTTTTTATTTGGAAGTATACTGGCAAAACTGTACATCTTGTGCTTAACAAAGATTAGATTCAAGGTACCGTTAACCAAGAAACATTCTATGAGACTCAGTTCTGAAGAAAGTCGATTTATGATCGACTATCAAGTTCTTGTAATTTGAATTCTTGCCTCAAATCCCTAGTTGGTTTCAGTTAATTGCATTTTGCGAAGGTTTGATTGTCTAGGAATGACTGGGAAATCGAGCTCTTATTATGGCTCATATAGCATATCATAGCATTAATAAGCAAATACAAACTTGCTTCTAATTTTTGGCTGTTTAGTAGAAAATTTAAGTATACCGGAGGTATACCGTTTTCTTGTCTTGAATAATTAAAAGGGACTTTAATTTCCAAAGATTTTTTCCTTGATTACGATTGTCAATGTAGAATGCAATCTAGAAATGAATCTTCAACTTGATCAACTTGTATCATACAGTTTGAGCTACTTTCCACTGTTTTTTTAAATGCTAAGAATCGGAAAATGCATTTTACCATGTGAAAGTATATTCAATCTCCAGTTCGTTGATGAAAACTTACAAATAATGTAATAACTTTGTGAAACAAAACCTTTTTACCAGTTTTTGTTTAGAATTTTTTGTTTCCTTTATCAAAATACCATGCGCATGTTAAGGTTTATTCTTGATAAACATGATACACCATTAATTTTTTGGCCTTAGGAGAAAAATTATGAAGTTTATACACACTGCTTGAAGGCATTTACATGGAAACCTTAACATGTTCCTTCAGCTGGCTAACTGGAATTTCGGCGTTGAAATTCCGCGGAGCTCAACTTGTATGATTTTGAATCTGTAATTCAGCGGTGTCTTTGTCAGACATCTAATTTAGCATAGCCTTGAAAAATCATGCAAAAATAGCGAGTACTTTCATTAGCGTGTAAATAGACTGCAGATGTTTCGAAACGAATGACAGAAAAACTCATGTTTTGGTATAATTACAAAGACCACTAGCTGATAATCTTCTGTTGAAAAGTTTCCGCTAAGAGCAAAACCTTTATAGGTCTAGCGCTCTCTCCCTCCGTTTTAGCTGAAAATCTTTACGAACACTTAGCAGGCATCTGAAACTCAATATAATTGCTAGGTAATTTGAAGAAACACCAATAATAGTATTTTCTATATAGAAGCAAATCTATTCATGCTTCCTGTAGATGTGGCACTCTTCCATTAAGTAATCCTAAGTAATCCATTAAGCTACCCTTTGTCTTTCTAACATTGTTTACCTTTTATGCATCGCTTTTTATTTTGAATATCGACGTATTGACTAATTTTTTAAAATAAATATGCAAGCAAGTCAAACATTGCTCACTCCGAAGGCTGCCAAGCTGTTTTTTTTATACTTCAACCTTACGTTATTTTCTATCCAATTTTTTATTCACGTTCATATTTCCATAAAACTCTAAGACTCCTTCTACAATGAGCAAATATTTAGTAATTATACCTACCTATATTAGCCATCAAGTAGTTAAAGAAATTTTATGACGCATCAGAAATCACAATCAAAACAAATACCTTCTGCAAATATCTTCAAAAGGAGTTTTGATTTGGGATTTGGGAGAGGGAACTGTTTTGTAGTTTTTAGTCCTAGCCATTTTTTAAATTTATTTTTAACCAATCTTAGTTACTTTTAGTACATTTACAAGTCAGATTTATTTCTAGAAATATTTCTGACACTGTTGTCCCATCGTGGAGGGGGAGGAACACAAATGTTTGCCGTCATTCTTATAGCCTATTGCTACTGCTTATTGACTGATAATTTAAGGGAAGAGTTCTTAAACATTTTTAAAATTTCATCACGTAACCCTTAAGTTTTCTCTTGAATGATAGGGCTTTTTCTTCTGGCCGTTTAATATACCTTAATAGTGAAATCTAATCTAGTTATGATAGAGGATAACAATTTCTAACAACCTGTGACAGGTTTTTTAATGTTGCAATTCAATTGAGAGCTCATAAGAATTTCGCTTTTTGTACACCAAACTATGGAACAATGTTAAAACCAGCAGTTTTGTACTAGAAAGAATTTTCGACTAACTGGAGCCAAAAATCTTCACTTGTGACTAGCGGGGCCCCTTTATCGTGTGACTAATGACTAGCAGTATCTCTTTTTCTACACCCTCTATGTTGGACCTTAGCCGCTCTGTTTTTAAGAGTCGGTTAAAATCCAAAGGATAAGAAATTGGCTAATGTAATCAATTGTTTTATTCTTTAGACAGAAACGCTGGGGCAAATAATGATAGCGATCGATAATATCGCCGACAAATGTGCAAGAAGAGCAAAAGAAACTGAAAATCTTACTTATCATCAAAAGCTTGACTTGATCAAGGTATGAATCTTTTCTTTTTATATGATCTTTGTTATTTCTGCTTTCTTTATGTGACATGTACAAGGTAGAAAAAGGCTATCTTTCTCTGTCTGTACTGATGAAAATTCACCAATCTGAAAAACACGGACATTTGAGTCAAGGCCTCAGTAGTTAGTGTGCTATGTTAATTACAGATGCTTAAAAAAAGTCTTTCTAAAATGTTCCTTTTCTTAAGGCAAACTTTCCAAATTTTTTGGCGACGTTCAATATTTTTTCAAGCCAGTATTTATTACTTTATACCTTTAGTCGATAAAGCATCCGATAAAGCATCCTTTAATTAGCTACAGGGCTTTTTTAACACGTTTAACATTATAACTGTTTTTCTACGAAGTAGGGGGGCTATGTATTCTGAAGGAGCCTCTGAAGCAAGTTTATGATAGAATTATTATTATTATTATTATCGAATATTTATACAGGATAATACTTCAGTAGTGATATGCATATATACATATTTACACTGTTTTCCCAGTAGTCCTGTTAAAATAAAAACAATAAACAAAATAAGATTAAAAATTTAGTTTACAATCGGCATTTATAAAATACAATTTGAAAGCAAAAAATAAGTCCGTACAAGGGGAATGAAGTTGAGTAGTATATAAGAGAGTTATAGGGTTGAGAGTTTACGTTAAAGTATAAAAGCTCTTCAATTTATTTTTGAAGGAAGTAAAACCACTTTCTGCTCGAATTTCTTTTGGAAGTTTGTTGAATAATGAGGCACCTTGGTAGTAAAATGATGCTCTTGCTATTTCAAGATTAATCCTCGGGATGTTAATCATTGTGCCATTGTTTCTGGTATTTACATTGGAGTTTTTCATTGCAAAATAGCTGTCAAAGATAGCGCCTACGTTTTTAGAGTGGAGGCATTTGTGCACATATGTACATATTCGTTTCATTGTGATTATTTCATTTCTCTGAACTTGTTGCTCGATGATAGAAAATGACAGAAGGGCTCTGTTTTGTTCTATTCGAATTGAGCCGTTCTCAGGGACCTTGCTCTTGGTTCATTAGTTGCTGCACAAGCTTACATAGTTTCCAGCAATGCTTTCAATACTTCAAACGTCATAGTCGTTGAAAACACCTCATTTTTGATAATTTGAACTTTCTTACTAGTATTATTGTTACAAGGTCAGCTTGTAATCGTTTAGCCAAGAACGTGTCATGGTATATTTTGATGGTATTTGTTTAAGAAGTGATGATTTGATATTATCATATTGATTATCTGCACTTAGCGATTTGATAAGAAATTGTTCTGCATAAGATTCACCAATCTAATGCTGATTGATAGGGATGAAATCCAGCCTGTCTTTAACAACAGCGAATGTTGTTTCAATTCATTAACATGGTTTCTGATGAAGCCTAACATTATCTGATCCCGTATCAAATCTATAGCCGGATAATGGCTAAGCAATTCCATCTAAAATCTTTTCTGCTTGGATTATTGATAACCTGGAATTCCATATGTTACTGCAAGATGAAATAAGTTTATTAAATCTGTTTATAAAAAAACCAACCTAACTCGTCTATTTTCCTGTTGCCTACTTTAGGTTTATATTTCGCTGCCTAATGCTTTGCCATGTTGTTGCTTTACGATAAAAGCAATGCGATAAATACAAAAGATTTCTTTAATTTCTGCAATCCCTGCTAAAAGTTTTGGTACACTACACTAAACTTTTATAAAATTTTATTGCATTCCCCTCTGTTGATACTTGACAGATATTTTTCTAAATTCAACTCTAGAATCATTATTTTTGGAAGCTCATTTTCAGGGCAAAGTATGTAGTGTTGGTTTTTCTACCAAAACAGTTATTTTTATTCAGCGCAACGCCTAAGCAAGGACCTTTGCCAGGGATTGCACGTAGTTACTTAGTCTTATGGTTATGTTATGTTATAGTGCCTGATGCATAATTGAGAGTTTTTGCTTCTATAGGGCTATTTAGGAGAACGAGAGGACATTGTTTATCATGTGAGATCTTCAGGAGGAAGTTTTGAGGCAGGGCTCAAGGACAAGGCGAAAGAGAGAAGAAAAGACAAACGAGATCTGAAAGGGACAATTTTGAAGTAAAACTTATATTTCTACTTCGGATTGCATAATATTCCGTTGACAAGCGTGGATGTTCCCCCTTGTTCATTACCCTAGGGTTTCTATTGAAATGACAGAATTCTTTGAACTATTTGTAATATAGTTGAAAATAGTCAAAAAGCAGGCTGAAAGGGTAGAATGAGAGATTTTATAAAGAACAGCTGGAAAGTAGTTTGTTAGGGAAAGATGTTAGGCACACGGATGTCTTTGAGACATCTGTTTTCTTCTGTTGGTTCCAGTCTGAGTGTGTTCCTTGCTAAATTTCATCACAGCTCAAATATCCGACTAGGTTTCGTAGTCACATATTAGCCCTAGGTAGCTGCATAAGCAAAGAAGTACAAATATATAAGAAAGTATTCCAACATCTGCTCTTTTAAAAAGGCAATTTCCGTGTTATTCCAACATGATTTAATTTATTATAAACATTACCATATCGCATTTATGAAGGAAAGATAATCAGTACTCTAAGCATTATTTTGCTACTTTTAGTGACAACAAAGCTGATAAACTAATTACTTTCTTGAGGTCGTTGGTATAGTTGATAGAATGTTTTAAGTGAGTGGAGCATTCACGTTATTTAGAGCATGCAAAACAGCACGAAACCAAGCTGCCATTGACGCGAAATTCTGTTGTTTTGCCTGAAATTCTGTGTTCAAGCATTGTAGATAAATTTCTAGCCAGCCATATATTGTTTTTAATACTGCATGTGAATTTTTGTGTAAATTGCAAAATTTGTAGATTTTGAAGATGATCGTGTAAATTTTATAAGTTATTAGCAAATAGCATAGCAGCCTGTAGATAATTTTATAATGTTAAAGAACAGCGTAGATTATAAGCACATACACCAATATAACTTAAAAATACATAATAATCTCTGACTTTTATGTCTCATAGTTTACATTTTGATATTGACATAATTAAGTTGTTTAAGTTTTCAGATTATAGATATTCCAGTGAATGTAATCTCGAAAACAGTGAAAATACCAATCAACTTTGTCTTGTTGCATTTTCTCAAATTTCTCAGTCATTGATTCTTTGTTTTTCTAAAACCTTGAATTCCTTATCCCTACATTCGCCTAATTTTGGTTATCCTCAGTTCCGTTGCATATTCTTTCTGCGTACCAACTGTTTTTTCTTCATAAATGAACGACTGCCACATGAAAATCACTTTTCTTCCAGATAAATGTGCTCACTTCTCTCCATTGCGAATGCCTGAAATGAATTCTTTAACGCTGCATGTATGTTTGAGTTTCAACGTATTTGGCTTCAAATTGATTGCTATCGTCAGATTTTCCACCTTCAAGGCGGATTTTCGTAGCTAAACTTGCGCAGTAACTGCTGTGACGGTGTAGTGTTTTTAACTTGTCAGAATAAATTGCGCGTGGTAATGAAGCAAAACAGCAGTCCTTACAAGCCGTATCTGATATCTTATTCTATCAGTTTCTTGGTAGAATATGAGTTCAAAACATCATCCCGCTTTATATTGTGAATCACAATATATTGTTTGTAGTTTTAACTGTATTATACTTATAAGACCATCTCCCTTTCCAGAGACCTAAATACCTCTTACCTACATCATTGTACATTATAGGTACTTTACACAAGCAAATCTTCATATAATAAATATATTGATTGGTTGCGAGTGATTATACGTTAGAAGCAGGATTACCAAAACAATCAAGATACAACTGACCCTCTCTGATACTAAGAAATTCAAACAAAATTCATATCTGCAAAAATAACAGACAGTTGATAATGTCAACTACCATGGCCTACAACAAAATGACCTACCCAAAACTTGATGAATCTTTACGGGAATTCAGCTTTGGATCAAACCTGTATTGGAAGGGGTAATATTAATTGGGTGAAAAGTAAAATAATATTATAGTTGGTATGCTTAATAGAAAGGCACAGATTCTCTGATTCTAAAAAAATGCTCTAATTTCAACGCAGTGGAGTGGAATGCAGTGGAGCCTGATGCTCGACATGATACTTATGCAGAACTTTAGCTTTTTGAATTGATCAACCTATCATGTCCTGAAGTGCTTGCAGAGAAGCGTGTATTTTGCAGGCACGTTCCTTCACAGCAACATGATTAGGCGTGTGAATAGACTCACAATTCATACCTATGAAAAATATTCGTCAAACTCCAATCACACAAGTGGTTGATCTGGTTGGTTATAGTAATACCTTTCGTCTTGAAAAGTGCTTTCGTATGATACTTTGTCTAAAGATTATAAATCTAAACCCAAAAGTTCTTCTTTTTATAACAGTTAATTTGCTTCGCTAAGTACAAGGCAACGTAGCTTTTTTGTAGACCTGAAAATTTGTTCACTGCCAATACAGTTACGTTCAATCCTTCAAAATATACTGGCTTTACTGAGCATATTTCCATATGAGCGTTTCGTATGCAGAATTTTCATGGCTTAATTTGCTTGCTGCCCTGTATGTTCTACTCTTTGCTAGTATTTTCTTAAAGGAAAAGTTTTGGCAAGTGCGAGGTAAATTTCTATTGAATTAAAAATTGTCTGTCTCTTTCAAGGCCACGATCCGCGCTTTCTAGGCCAACTTTGAAACAAATTTTCCAGCGTTTGAAAGAAAAATTCTGCTTGTTTTCAACATACCGACAGAATCTTGAAACTCATTGCATCTTTTATCAAGAAGGAAAGCTATCATGCGGTCCACTTTCATTACATTCTGCGTTTGAGAATTAATAATATGGTTATAGAAGGACTGCGGGAGATTAACTCTGTTAGCGAAATCAGACGCTCAGTAACAAGTTCTAGGATTTTTCTACCACATTCATTTATTGGTCTTGTAAAATCCGGCATTTTTGGAAATGAAAGGAAATTATAGGAGACATACTTGCCAACCAGGAACGCTAAAAATTCTTTGAAAATGATTTCATAAATTTTTCAGTGCTTATAAAGAAGTTTTTTTCAAAACACACAAGCCATGACCCTCGTACGAATAACCTGCTTTTAAGTTCCTTAGTATGAACGATCAATTATGGCACCAAATCACTGAACTTGTTGGGCTTCAAGATTTGGAATTCCTAGCCTGATAAATTATATACAAGCAACAATTGTACATCTAATTAAAATGCCTGGTTTCATAAAGATTGATTTTGTGAATAATTTCAGGCAGCGTTTCGGCCTGAAACCGATAGCTTTCAAATTGCAATCATTTGTAATACAAACATTAAAAATCGGCTATTACGTTTAGAATCTTTTTCATGGACTGGTAGAAGAAGTCCTGTAAGACTAAACTTCCTGTTTTTAAAAAGAGCTTATCATTGGTAAATCTTCCCGATATTTCCTGATGAAAAACTTGACCATTTTGACGAATTTTGACGATATTTTATATCTGGATAATGGTATAGAGAATCAACAAATAATTTTATGTAATGCATTCAGACAAAGAATCTCTACTTATTGCATATAGATAAATTTTTCATTTCTTGCCAATAGTGTTGAACGTAAAATGTTAGTTTAAATGGTCTACTTTTTTCGCCTTTTTTCATTCATATGCGCGTTTTGAGACGTAAAATCAAGAGGTTTCAAGGTCAATCGTTTGTGATATCACTGATTGAAGGAGGGCTAAGATAAGAATCTGATGTAGGTGTATCGAAGGAAATAACGCTACGAGATAGATAATTTTGATTGTTGTTCAAACATTCTTATACGATAGGCATATAATGGTTAATACGGGAATTCGGAGCTCAAATAATTTTTAAGCTGACAGATGAACAACGTGCAATCTTGATAACTTTTATTTGGATGAAAAGCTTAGATTCATTTTTGCTTAGCAGCCAAGGAAAAGAACTCAAATTTTGGAACAAATTTATCTGATGTGTTGCAAGATTAGTTTTATATGTTATTGTAAGTTTAATACGATTGTTCATTCTTTTTCACTGTTAAGTAGCATTTAGCAAGCCTGGTCAGTAATGACTGCTTGCTTAAAGAAATTTGACAAAAGGAAAGAGAAATTTGACAAAAGACAAAGTTCTTATTTTTAACTTAAGCAATGAGAATGACTTTGTGCTTATAGATTTGTATTTTCCTTTCTGTTTCAACCTTTTGCAACTGAGACCCAAAATCTCAGGATATGGCAAGAGAAATACTATAGCTTGGTGCTTAACATTTGAATAATCTGCTTATAAAACTCTCTTCCATAAAATCATCTAAGAAGCGTATAAAAAACATTTACTTCATCAGATGAGTTAAAAAATAGCGCTATTCTGTAATTTTGAATCTAAACTGCATGAAATTCCTTTATCAACAATTAATGAATGAGGCTCCCCCTCACATTTATCTTCCAGAAGTGGACCGGCAAACTGCACCTGTTACTGAAATTATATTCAGTCGATCTTTGATGATGTTAGAGCTTTGATGAAACCGGAAAGATCTTTGTCCAAATTCACAGGAAAATGGAATAAATATTTTTTTTTCTGGGGAAAAATAGCATCAATCTTTATTTAAATGCATTTTCTGCTACATCGAATAATTCAGTCATTTTACAAAATCATTTTTCATGGACATCCTTTTATGAATGTCTGAAGCCACTTTTAGCTGTAAATGGCTGAATTGCCTTATACAAAAACTTTTCTTTCCTGTTAAGTTACGTATTAAACCAGGAAATGTTAAGAATCTGCGTGGTAAATCTTCATTGCTAAATCAGAAAGTCACAATTCAAAAACGTCCTGATGATACTGTTCTGTAAAGCAAGCTTTTGCGGAGGCACAAAGAATATTTTGTCGGTCAGGCTGCAATCTGCTAGAAAGTTTCAGTTTAAGATTGAATTATCGCGCTTTGTTATAACACCAAACAACGTAATTCTGTAACACTTCGCATAGGTCAGCTGTCTTATGATAATGGCACGTATGCAGATAAAGAAAATACAATAAAATTTGTAATAATTATCGCCAGCCTTTGCCTTCGTACTCTCAAATTTTCACACAAAACAATCTTGTCATCGTACAATCGCTGCCAAAGCGCATCACATTAAGTTCAAAAATGTATTTCAAAAAACTTCACAGTGCAGAATAGCTAGATGACAAAGAAAATAGAATAACTAATTGAAAGGGATGATATAAATCAAAGAAGAGTGATACAAGAGATAGGTCAGTAAATGATGTGCAGGTCATGAAATTTCACAACCGGATACTTCATTTCAATGAATGGTCCTGTCTCATAGAGTATAACGTGACTCACCTTTTCACTCTTGACCATTTTGCATAAGTTGTGAAAGTTGCAGTATAAAGAGCTGATGTATTGCTTTGCAAATCTAGTCTCAATTGAAAAAACAAGTAAAAATTTTTTTGAATAACTTCAAAATGTTCTGCTTAATTCTGGGAGGGGTATGAAAAACATGCACATTTATAACAAATTCACACCCTTCTGCATAAAATTTTGGCAAAGAGGATTAAATATTGCATGAATAAATATAGCTAGAATTTCTGGATTTTCTTGATTTGTTCCAAACACAATTTGCACAGCGTTGTTGCTGTGACCTAAAAATGGGAAAAGATTGATCAGAACAAATCTTTCCCTGAATTTTTCTGCTTCAATACTATAAAAAACTTAAAGCAAGGGCTAAACCATCTTATAAGGTAAAATTCATGTATATCGTTTTAAATCCATAAATTCAAATGCTTTTTTTGGTTTAAATGACCAGTAAACTTGTAAATACTTTAAGAAATAAAACAATTCTTTTCGTTTTATAGATGAGTTTCAATCATGTAATGATGATGCACATTTTCAAGAGCATTGGGTTAAAGTTAGAATGAAAATGTATATTTGTTTGAGCTTACTGCCTTCAACTCAAAAGTACGTTTCCTTTCTGAAACTGTCGAATGTTAAACAAGGCTATCTAAATATTGAAATTCTGCGGAGGCTAGCTGCCACTTTATAGTCAAAAAGCAATCGTTGATTATTATATGACTTGAAATCCAAGGTTTCGCTTTTGGAAAAATATGTTTTATCAAAAGTTTGCGTTTTTTCTGTATTAAAGCCTCTTCACTAGAAAAAGGTTGCATACCAAATATGGAAATTGTTTAAGGTGAATAAACCAATCGAATGAATGAAAGATAGAAATCGCCCTTCTTGAATTTGTGATATCTCAGTTCTGCTTGGCAAAACAAGATTCTTCGTATCTGATTTGGTGTTTTCTGCTTTAACAGCATCTTTCGATTTTTCATGGCTGTAAAAATCATGTTTTGCAGTAGACGCGTTAGTTTTGCAGAATGCGTTGCCTACAGAAAAGATCAAGCTTTTTCATTGCAAATGCAGTCGTCATCTAGCCGACAATCACAGGGTTGGTCCGTGTGATTTATCACTTGAAGTCTTTTTCACACAAACTGACACCCTAGTGCAATTTCTGTGCAGAATTTTTCAGCTTATATCCTTGAAATAATAAAGGTGACGGAAAAACTAAAACAGTTAGACAGGTGTATTTTAAATTGGATCAAAATCGTTGAACAGAAGATGTTTGCAGTTTTTATGCATCGCTATTTGCTGCCTTCGTTAATTATTGATGCTTTTTAATATTTCATAGGTTATTTGTTGTCTTGTATCCGGGCAAAAAAGTTATTTCAATACAAAGAAGCAACTGCCTATTCTCAACGAATTCAAACGCTGCAGGTCTACACCCGGATTTGGCATTTGTGATTTGCATTGAAAAGATCATCCCTACGAGCTAAAATGGGATTTCTCGTCTTGTATAGAAACTGTATTGAAGATTAACCGTTAGAACAATTGTATTTGCTTCTGCACACTAATAACGTATTCTATCGTAGACACACTGTTAAGTTATTCTTCTTTTTCTAGATTTGAAGAAATTCAATTACACGAAGAGCTCTTACAGGGACGCCGTTCTTCAGAAAAAATTGCAATCAGAATTTCGCCTTCAGTTCGTTTCTAATTTCGCAATGCCAAAAAGCGCTTGGTTTTCATTCAAATATGCTTTCATTATCTCAACCAAGCAAAATCAAATATCCAGGTTTTCGGTTGACGGATTGAATGAACTTTCAGTGATTAAAATGTTTAGCACGGAGAGCGTTATCACCAGAACTAAACCATGTTAGTAGCAGGTGGCTGATGCCAAGTGATTGGTTGATTTTTGATAAGTGAGCAAATCACCCAGATCGTGATTCAGCGATCAAATGTTCACAAATCAGCCTATGTTAAGATATGTCATCGACTTTTCTTTTTTATGACTTCCGGCAGCTAGAGCCACTTCTTCGATAAACTTTTATGCTTTCGTTACAGAAGCAATGTAAATTTCTGTAGTTGATCAAATGAATTATGCCTTAGCAATACTTTTAACGATGAAGTAGTTGGAAAGATGTAATGCTGTACACTTAAAGTAAGATTTTTGCTGGAAATATTCTAGATATCGCGTACAGCTATGCGATGCGTTTCTTTTGCAACCAATTGTCGCTGCTTTCCATTTATCGTTTGAATTCCATAAGACAGGCCCCAAAAAATATTAAATACAAAGCTTCCTCTGTCATGAAAACAAAACAGAAAAGCACTGCTTTGCCTTTGGAAAATTGGAAAATGTACCCAATAACGGATTTCGAGCTTCTATCCCATGGAATACTGTCAAAAGAGTTTGTGGCATTATTGGCGGACTAAAGGTCTTTCACTCGCGGGAAAAGCCTGTATCTAATTGATCCTAGTTGGTAGACCCCTCCTTTTTCAAAGGATATGGAAGCTCTAAATTTGCATTACCACGCCTATAATGACGCTGTTGTTTTGAAATGAACTGAAACTGCATGCCTGTAAAGAGAGGCACAGCATCTAGAGCAAGTATAAAACAAACTGAGTTTGAGTCCTGCCCTGATCGTGCCATTCGCTAAAA